CCTTGTTTCCACATATTCCGCAACATGGACGCTGCTGTTTTGCACGTGTCTGAAAGTGCCAGGGCTTGCAAGTGCGAGGGCCCAAAGGGTTTTCATGGCGGGACGTCGTAAGGTGCCATCCTCTGAGGCGCTAGCTTCCCTACAGTCTCTGGACCCATAGAACACCAAAGCGGTCAACGTGAGCCGTATTGCATGGCGCTTGTGCTAGCCTCCCGCAGTGAGTATTTTTGGAAATCCGAGCAATTCCATTTCACGTTCTTTTCCGAGACCTCGGCTTGAATTTGGCAGCTCCGGGCAAGATTCTGATTTACTTGCTCGCAGCATACGTGGCTTGTCGGGAAACCAAGCTGGAGGGATGTGCTGATAGCATCAAGACCAACACGTGCTACAGACATGGCCCATCCATTTCTTCTTTGACGACACAGCTTCGCCTCCACTACGCCTTGAACATCGGTTCCGAGCGTGGCGAACTCCCCAGCAACATTACGGAATGGCGGCTCTGGTGCTCAATGTGGTGATTGCAACAAGGAGGCACGGTCATGGCCATGTTTCGACATGTTCGGTGGCTCCAAAATCTAATAAGAGTTTCTAACGCCGCCGCCGTGTTTGATGCTTTCTTTTTGGGGTCCCATCAACAAGAGCCGTTTGGCCAATCGCAGAGTGGCTTGGTGGTTTCCTGGTTACTTGCTCTTGGAAATCTGCTGCTATCGCAGAAAACGACGAGCGAACACACAGTCAAACAGGCGTGTTTATCATCTTGTTGCATCGTAAGGGGGGGTCCGCTCCAAGGTTTTTTCTGACCGGTTTCCAGAAAGAATTGTCCTGGAAGTATAGCCTGGGTGAGTCGGGTCCCCAACCAAACCATTAGCTCGTAAAAGTTGTTTGCATTGTCCCTGCACTTGTCGAGTTCTCCTCGAAAAACTTTCTTGATGCAAAGGAGCTCCTGACAACTTGGAAAGAGTTCACGAACCCGGCCAGTTGATTACAGTGCTGCTGGAGCTGAGTGAACGCAAGGCCCAGAAGTTGTTGCCAGCGGCGTGCGTTGGAATGACGGCCGCCGGTCGTTCACCACACATGTGAACACCAATCTGCGAACCGTAAGCACCAACTCCAAGATGAACCCGGCCAAGCTGGTGGTGTCCACTGTGCAGCCAGCATTGGTAAGTTGGGGCAAAGTTCTCACACGTTTCCGAGATGGAGCAGGGCTGGAGCTGACGTTCAAAGCCAAGCTTGTTCCAGAACGGAGCGGTGTTGGGCGCATGGAGCAAAGCCATGCGTTGGCCATCTTGGGAGCACGCGGCGCGCTGGACACGAAAGAGATGAAGGCCCTGGATGACCAAGCTACTGCCGGCTCAAACACTCAGGATTTTCTGGAGGTGTGCCGGGTGACAGAGGTACGTGCCAAGCGGGCACCTTTGCTGACGCTTGCCAATTTGGCGCGTGTGTCTGCGTTGCTAGGCGAGGATGTCCCGGCCGTAACGCTACAAGGCGCAGTCTGCAAGTTTATGCAAGTGCTCGCTTGCTTTGCTTGTGGCAAGACCTTTAGCCAAGCTCGAGAAGAAGATAGCAACCAGAAGTGGCATGTGTCCAGTCTCGGCCGCAAGCTGCTGAGACTGATGCGCAAGTTTCAGCAGAGTAGCGAGACGGCCACCAAATGCTGCGGTGATGGAAAAGCGCATAATTGAGTGTCCGTACTACGAAAGGTCGAAACTTTCTTTGATTAATGCAGCTGTTAGCTTGATTGACCCCGAATCCCCGGGGCCTTCACTCTCGAACATGGCGTTGACATGGAGTTTTCTCCCCGAAGTCGATGAACAATATCGATGCTTTTACCCGGCGTCAAGGAGATGGATGGACCCGATGTGTCCTCTTCCCAAAAAAGGGGACTTCCTGCAGGGACATACATGGACTGATTGTAACATAAGCTACTCAAGTTCGCACCTTACATGAAGGAGACAAGCCTTTTTTTGGGTTATACAGACTTGTCATGCCTTTTTGCTGTTTGGGGTCGAGGCTGGTGTAATTTTTACACTGTAAGTAACTTCATAAGTATTTGAGAAATTAATCTTATCTACAACATCGTTTATTTTTGCTTTTAATTCTGTCGATAGTTCTGTGCCAGTATATACTCCTTCGTCCAATTGTAACGCTAAATGATGGACATTTGTGTTATCTTCATCTGGAACTAATGGAGAAGAATAAAAGTATAGCATATTATTTAATCCTGACTGTATTGAATACCACGAGTTAGGTAATGTTACTTCGTGAATGTAGCAATGAACTCCGTTGTCTGTTTGTAATGTTTCCGGCAATTCAACTTTGAAATTTGATGATGAACCGCTAATTCTATGGGCGCTGTCAATATAGACCTTCTTATACGTCACCATTGTTAATTCATTGAGAAGGTAGTGTATAACTTTAATTATATGATTAATAATAAAATATAATTTATGAAATGAAGCATGGGAAAACTATAAGAAAACAACTAAAATAACTGATGTTATGAAACAGACTGACAACATATTATATAGTTATTATCCTAATTCTAAGTTAACTGATGCACAAGGATTAAGTAAAGCTTATGGTAATGGTAAAGGTTTTTATATTGATGGTGATGAAGAAATATGTAAGCCTAACATTTGGAAAAGGAACGTTTGGAGGTGCTGTTAATGACATTCTGGCGGATGTAGGACTTCCGTTTAAAATGACAAAATGTTCACAACGATATAAAGACACATTAAAAGCACTGGATGAAAACAATGAAGTTAAACACCTTATAACACACAGTCTAGGTTCAAGTGTAGGGGCACAAATAACAAAAGATTATCCTGAAAGAGAATTAACTTTAACCACTTATGGAGCGCCGTTCATATCACGAAGGTCTAAAATTACTGATGACTACATTAATTTTAGAAGTATCTTACACCTTGTTAGTATTGCTGACCGTGGTGCTATAACTGTTTATTCTGGTTCATTAAACCCATTTACTAACCACGATTACACAACTGGATACGGAGACCAAGGCAAAGATGTTTCAAGAAGTGTTGAACCTGTACGTGTGATAATAAAGTCAAATAACTACTTAAATATATAAATACATAATATTATATATGTATAATCAGTTACATGAAAACTTGACAGACAGTGAAGCAAAATATAAGCCATTAACAATTGAAGAAAGATTAATGGATTAACATAGAGATAATAAACGAAACAGATGTAAAATGCCAATGTGGATGTTATATATTTAGAGGTTTTGAATATTCCAATTGTTATAATTTTATCTTGTTTAAAGCAAACGTCGTAAATAATAAGTTCTTGTTATTAAATGACAACAACAGTTGTAATCACACCCAATCAGACATTGACGAAATAGTAAAAAGACAAAACGAAAATATGTTATCATCATATCATTCATGATACAACATAAGAAATATGACAATGAAACAACGGATGATATGATTAAGAATGAAAATAGAAAAGTATAAGAACAGTTCATATATATGATGAAATTAGAGGATTAGTAATGGAGAAAGAAAAAGGCAACAATCCAGTTGAAGATAAGATTAAGAAAATGAAAATGAAAACATTTAAAAATAATAATTCTAATCAAAAGGGTTATACGAAACTATTCAATTTGTAAAACATAATTCTTAGTTATGCTTTAGAAATTCATGAAATTACAATTTCATCAATTTGTAAAACATATATAATTTTACCAATTTAGTTTAAATTATTTCTAAATTGAATTATATATAGAAATGGAAACTTTTAGTGCTGAAGATATTCTAATTGACAACCTCTCCTTCAACTTGAATAAAGGAGCAAGTTATATAAATGAGCGTCGTAGCGTTTCGTTCTTCCCGTCTGGTTCAACTATTTATAAATCTTCGCCTGGAAATCGTGTATTGAAAATCGCTTTAAATGCCGAAGATAATAGTTGGTTGGACCAGGGGGGACCTGGGGAGAAGATCCGGGGGGGGGGGGGAAGGAAACATCTTGGGGGACAAAGGCATCAGGGGGGAAAGAGGGGAAAGGATCTGAGCCGGGAAAGAAGGAAAAAAACTTAGCGAGAAGATCTGACTAAAGGCCTTGGGGGGGAAAGGGGGGAAAGGATGGGGGGGAAAGATCTCAGGGAGGAAAGGCAGAAGATCTGGGGAAAAAAGGCCTTAGGGGGGAAAGGGGAGAAATGATCTCAAGAGGGAAAGGGGTGGAACAGATCTTAGGCAGGAAAGGGAGAAGATCTGGGGGGAAAAAGGCCAACAAGGAAAGGGGGGAAAGATCTTAGGAAGGAAAAGGGAGAAGCTCTCAGGGGGGGAAAAGGCCTTAGGGCGGAAAGGGTGGGAAGGATCTCAACCGGGAAAGAATCTTAGGAAGGAAAAGGGAGAAGATCTGGAAAGGCCTTAGGGGGAAGGGGGGAAAGGATTTCAACAGGGAAAGGGGGCAAAGGATCTTAGGGACGAATAGGGAGAAGATGTCAGCCTTAGGGGGGAAAGGGGGGAAAGGATCTCAACAGGGAAAGGGGGGAAAAGATCTCAGGGAGGAAAGGGAACAGATCTCAGGGAAAGGGGGGGAAAGATCTTTGGGAGGAAAAGGGAGAAGAACTCAGGGTGGGAAAAGGCCTTTGGGGGGACAGGGGGAAAGGATCTCAATAGGGAAAGGTGGGAAAAGATCTTAGGGAGAAAAAGGGAGAAGATCTCAGGGAAGAACAGGCCTTAGGGGGGAAAGGGGGGAAAGGATCTCAACGAAGAGAGGGGGGAAAACATCTTAGGCAGGAAAAGGGAAGAAATCTCAGAGGGAGAAAGGGCCTTAGGGGGGAAAGGGGGAATGGATCTCAACAGGGAAAGGGGGGCAAAAATCTTAGAGGGGAAGGGGGGCAAGGGGACAATTCCAAAGGGACGCAAATAAGAAAGCAGGCCTGTATTGTCGGCGGCCTGAGCCGGAGGCGTTAAAATATTTGACACTCCCAAACCTCATGCAAAGTGAGCTCATGTGAGCGCCTGTCTCATCCTCCTTCCAGCCACCGGAGTCCTTTGGCAAGCTTTGGCCGCCTCGCACTGGAAGCCCCTGAATCCCCTGAAACCCTTCCGCATCGTCTTTGGATTGATCCGTTTCCTATGGCAAACGTGTGTCGCCGAACTCGAACGTTTCCGGTTGCGCCTTCCTCCTGCGGGAAGAGCTTCCAGGCCTCTGCCGGGGCGACGCTCTTCGCCTCTCCGCCTGAGAACTCGGGACGCGAATCTTGGCTCCCACACCTCCAACTCCTCGGAACGCCCCGCCTCTCGCTGTCCCCCTCTCTCTCTCTGTAGCGAGAATCTGTCCCTCTCTTGACTGGCGCCTAGTTCGCGAATCTTCTTAGCTGTCTCCGTGAAGCCAGCCAAGCGCGCCAAGTCCTCCGCCGTGTAGCCTACGGGCTCGCGGTCGAAGCTGGGAGGGCGGAAGGGACAGGAAAGCGGGGTGAATCTGCAAAGGATGCAAACGGTTCTCAAGCAGAAATGATCATCCGCGCCGAATTCTTCAAGTGCGACTTCAAGTTTAAGTCAACACTTCCACAAACTTCGCTTGATGGAAAGGGCAATCGGAAGGGAACGGGTCGACGGGGCCGACTCTTTCTCGGGTTGCCTCCGTAGTCTGTGGCCTGTGCGAAGAAGCTTCGATCGGAGGGTGTCACGGCGTTCAGAAAAAGCTCCGCCAGCCGCGACGTGCCCTGCTCCGCTGCCACGTGCAGAATGGTCCGCTGCCGCGCGTCCCTCGCAGTCACGATGGCCGTCATGGCCTCGCATTTAAGTTGACTCAGAATTCGTCAAATCTCCCATTGGCAGCTTTCCCCTTCATGACAAATGTTATAACAACAAATCAATATGCACGATCACAACCAAGATCAACCAAGGTCTCGTGTCTCAATCTGACTCGAGTGTACCCATTTTTTGCTTCGCCTCGGAGCCGGTGGCGTCGCAAGCCCGAAAGACTTGTGCGAGAACTCGAAAAAGCTGGTACTCCAACAGGTCCTCGAGGGGCCTCAGCCGCATGACCTGCTCGGCCGCATTCACCTCGTCCTGCCATCATTGCCCCAGTCCGCATACGTCATTTGCACTCCGCCCTCTTGGCGCCTGTTGCCTGCTCTTGCCTGCTCTTGCCTGCTCTGGCCCTATCTTGCGACCCCATCGCGACCCCTGCCGGATCTCTCGCACCTATCGCACCTTCGCACCTTCGCACCTGCTCTTCTCAATCCGCTACTAGCGTGTCGTTCCGTGCCTGGGCCTTGAAGGCCTGGAGCAAGCGCCGGGTCTCGGGGTCGTCGTGCTCCTCGTGCTCCAGCGCCCGGAGCCAGCGGTCCAGCACTTTGAACCCCGTCAGCGACTGCGCGCGCAGCTCCGACAGCGGGTACCGCTGCAGCGGCCGCAGCGTCTCCAGCGACACTGACACGAAGTCGAAGGGCGACCACTCGCCTGATAAACATGGAATCACATGGACATGATTTGCACGGAGATTGCTCAGGAAGTCGGTTGGTCAGCCACTGCTCTTGGGAAGCGTGCCCAGAAGGCGCTGGAGGCATGCTACAAATGGGCATGCAATTCGTCGGCCTGTCGCGATGACCTGCTCACAGTAGGGCCGCGACCAGGGATGCTCCAAGTCCAGGAGCTGTTCCAAGACTGGCCAAGCGGAGGGCCAGGCGTGTAGCTGCCGGAAGACTCGGTCCACGGTGCCCAAGAAATCCGGGCTGCTGTAGTTCCTCCCGGCTCAACGCGCCGTTGACACGAATTCGTTAGACAAACCCTTCGCAAGCCTTCAAACACCCAAAGAAAATCAACAGAGTCATCAAGGAAGGCTTAGAGTTACGGAGACTGATTGAAAGGATGAGAGGAAGAAAGAAACCGGTGCGGGAAAACATGCCTGCGCCTGTGGCGCGGGAAAAGAAATTGCGAGAAAGAGTAGCCCTCGGTGGACTCTGGCTTGTCCTTCTGGCTGGAAACCACTTGGATGCTTGGGCAAGCTAACAAGCCAGGGGCAACTTGCTAACTTGGCCAAGCACCCACGTACCCTGGTCACGACGGCTTTCAAAACGGGCGCCGCGGGCATCAGTATGCGCAGCAGCCGCAGCACTTTCGCAAGAAAGAGAGAAAGAGAGAAAGAAAGAAAGAAAGAAAGAAAGAAAGAAAGAAAGAAAGAAAGAAAGAAAGAAAGAAAGAAAGAAAGAAAGAAAGAAAGAAAGAAAGAAAGAAAGAAAGAAAGAAAGAAAGAAATAAAGAAATAAAGAAAGAAAGAAAGAAATCAAATAGCATAAATGAATAAATCAATATATAATGAAATATTGATACAACAGCGAGAGAGAAAGAAAGGACGAGAATCATAGAGAAAGAGAGAAAGAGAGACATCAAGGAAACAATAATAAAACGATAAAAATAAACATATTAGACTCAATGAGAAAAAGAGATAAAGAGAAACAATAGGAGAAGGAGAACGGGATAAATAGAGAAAGAGGAAGAGAGCCATGAGAGAACAACAAACAAAAAGAAAGGGAAAAAGAGAAGCGCGCTCCAACCATAGTTCTTGTATTTTGATGGTTTCCGCCACCGGCTTCGCCGGCTTTACGTGGCAAGGATCACACCCAAAGGCCCCGCGCAAAGTTTTGTACTGAACATTCGAATGGTTTTCAGGTGTGATCAACACCTCGGGAAAACCAACAATGCCACCATGTCAGAGACCATGCTTGATCACATGTGTCCGGAGTGCCTGGTTGTTTGTTTTCCGAATGTCTTCGGAATCGATCCGTTGACTTTTGGGCTTTCGCGAGTCTTGTGAGGCTTGTGGATCGACAGCTTGTGAGGCTTGTCTTGTTCCTTTTCCATCCGGACAGTGGCTTTGCTCACTCGCGAACAGCTCGCGCGCTCTGCTGAATGCAGGCAATGCCCAAAAAGGTGAGCCGGCCGATTGTTCCTCAGCTGAGAATTGGACACGTGCTGTCGCAGGGTATGGCGTTCCGGAGTTCTGGATGGTACCGCGAATGGCTCTATTGCCGGGGCCTGGATGCCACTGGAGGCGACGAGAGCTGTGCAAGGTGCGGTGTGCTCTGCTGTTGCGCAGGGGGTAGGACCAAAAGGTTGCCAGGGTGTTAAGGCAAAATGCGTGCTCAGGGTCTGAAAAATAGCGCTGGGAAATCGAATGGCGCGGGCCGAGGAGCTGCTCGTAGAACGTGCCGATGATGCGCTCGGCGTCGGGGAAGAACAAGCTCAGCTTCTCGGGGAAGGGGTTCTCCCGGTAGCAGCGCCGGAACTCCGCCGTCAGCTCCCGGGCCCCGGGGCCCGTCAAACCCCCCATCTGCCACACCGAGGCCCGCGCGACCAGCCGGGACGGCCGGGAGCTTCTCGAGCTCTCTTTGGCTCCGACAAACGACGCGTCAAATGCGTCAAATGCCAACAGAGCAAGCGCCAGCAGACCATGCCATCGTCGCCGCATGTCGCCCTATAGATGCATACTTTGCTGAAACGAACTTGATGCAAGACTGCAACTCCACGCGGTTCCAGCTCAGAGCCATCTTTGGCTACACGGAGATGCCTGCCTCATGCAGTCTGCAGATCTGTGGGTGAAACCATGTCAGGTTGAAAGTGACGCAGTCGATTGCTTTCTGCCATTCTCGGGACTCTCTGTTCTCTACTTGAGAGCATCTCTAGCACTGGTGCCGTCCCTCCCCTGACCGCGCTCACCGGATGGTTAGCATGGGCTCTCCAATCTTGGACCGCGCAGAGTCCCTTGGACAAAAGCCCGAATGCCACAGGAGTGAAACAAGTGAAACTGCTCAATCGACCCAATCAAACCCAAAGGGGGCGGCTTGACCATCTGCAGGATGCCGAACGACCCCGTCAGCAGCTCGGCTATCAAAGATGTAAAGAGCAGCCAAACGAATGGCGCCACCTCAGACACAATGCACTTTGCGCACTTTGCGAATGAAACTGTCCAATGCAGGGTGCTTGGGTCCCAGCATCTACCCCGGCTTCAGGCTTTAGGACCAACCGCCTCGGCTCCAATCGGGGGCAGAACATATGTTGTCTAGGGAGCACGTGGGGCCGAGGATGAACTCCGTGGGGTAGTGAACAATCGCATAGGGCATGTCCGTCGTGTTGAGCTGGCGAATCCATTCAGATCGTGTACTGTCTTCTTCTCCCCTGCCTTGGGAAACTGGGCCAAGAGCACCTCGGCGCAATGCGGTGCGGAGTGCTGAGTGCCCACTGCAGGTGCCGGGCTCTTGCCAGAAACAAGACCTGATAAACGTTCAGCAGGGGCTTCAGCACATCTAACCTCGCATCGTCGTATACACGCGACAGGCGCGACATACAAAGATATACAGTGTGAAAGATGGGCTCGAAGATTATTTTCAAAGTGGTGTTTCATCTTTCGTGTAGTCGTAGAGTCGTGTTTCTCTAGCCGCGGGGCAGCTGCGCGGCGGTGGCGGGCTCCAGCTGCAGCCGGGCGATGAAGAAGGATCCCCCGGCGCCGATGGCCAGGACCACCGTCAGAAGCGCCGCCCAGATGCCCGTCCACTCCAAGAAGCCTCGAATTCAAAACGAAATAAGGGAGATGTGGAAAGAAAGGGCTCACACAGCACTCTCAACTCTCTCATTTTCTCGTGAACTGACAACTTAGAGATCACCCCGGCTTGGCTGTAGAGCATTGCGCAGTGAAGCAGTGAAAACGGAGATTAGGGACGAGCTCGCGCTGGGATGGCAAAGTAAAACACACTTTCAATGCGAGCTCACGTCATACTCAATCAAATTAATGTATTCATACTTGTGTCGATTGAGCGTCTCGGACTCAAGCAATCACCTCTCTGAGTGCTCGGCCCAAGCCGCCGTCCGACCAGGGATTTGGCCTGGCGGCTCAAGTAGCCCGTAGGCATGGGTGAAAGCCAGGTTCGGACCCGGGGGGCAGCAAATCCTCGTCCTGAGCCATGCAAAGCTCACGGCATCTTCACATCTCTGGCGCCCGGCGATGCCAGGCACATCGGGAAGACTCACCTCCCGGACCTGGCATTGAAGCAACTTAGCATTCACACACGACGAAACACGACGCAAGACGACGTAACACGACGTAACACGACGTAACACGCAACATGTACCATCATGTCCCACATTGTCTGCGTGGTTGCGGAGCCGTGCCTTTACCTGGGCTTTCACGGCGGCCTCCTCGCCGTCCTGAAGGCCATGCCGCGGATGCAGCTCTGTGAACACATCCGCGCCTCCTCCGAGAAGTCGGGCAGGTCAGGCAGATCTGACAGGTCTGGCAAGGCCTAGACCCGGGTCACATTGCATTGTCCAATGCGAAGAATGCAGGCGCATTGCCTGCTGGGTCTCAGTCTTCCCTGCACAAGTTCTTTCAGTGTCACCGGAAGGCTGTCGCACTCCTCATGCCCCTTGTGCCTCCAACCCGCTGCCAGTCGTAGGGCTCTTCGGACCTTGCACCCAATGCGTTACATGCGCTTTTTCGGTGTGACATGGGTTGTGGCTCCTTGGCCCTTCGCGCCACCTGAGCTCGGGAATGGGTCTGGTGATGGTGATGAAGTCTAAGTGCGGAGCCGGAGCGCGTGCCTGGCGAACGGCCTTAGACATGTCTGACCGTCTGACTCTCTTTCGATCTTTGGCAAAGCCGAGCTTGTGACCGGGACAAAGGTATGGGCAGCGACCAGAAGACATGCCAGGCATGCCCTCACCTTTGCAACACCCAAACCCGAGGTGGCACGAAACGACTTGAGGCTCCATCCGGTCGTCTGGTTGGAAATCCTACGAATTGCGAGAGCCAAGCCAATCATGCGAAGTGCGGCCGCTCGGATGCGACAAATGACGACGTGACGATGCCATGCTCACGGCGAGCACATCAAACACAAGAGCAAGTCCTCGATTCCCTGGAGTTCCCATTGCGAATGCCAAGTTTGCAGAGTTTGCAGAGTTAGCGGAAATGAGTTGCTGCACTTGGTGAATGTCGGAACTGTCACGTCGTTCATGGACTGTGCATTGATTCAATCTATCAATCTAGAGCGCGAAGGCCTTGAGGCAATCTAGATCGCGAATCTGCCTCGCCTCGCCTCGCCTCACAGCCTGGGATCGCGCCTTCTCTCGACAGGCTTGCGCTCCGCGACTCCGTGCGTTGCCGCGTTGCTGCTGTCGGGGGTGACGGGGTGACACAGCCGTGCCGTCTTGACGCCAATCTCAAAGAACTTCAAGGCTAACAAGACGTTCCGATTTCAGCCTCACTCGTCGTCTGAGTCAAAGGTGGTGTGCACCTTCAGCAAAATTGGAATTCGAGGGGAACGCATTCGAATTCCGATCCCTTCCGATCCCAAGGCCTTCTTTGCCTCCAGGGCGGCCACTTGCTCGGCGCTCCTGCGAGACGAACTGATCCGCTCATGGCGCGTTCCATGGGGCCCGTGCTTGAAGTGCGCACCGAAGAGCGGGTGAGCCTCTCAACGATGCAAACCGGTTTCCCATTGAGGAAAACCTTCCAATCTGTTGAGATCTGTGAAGGTCCCGGGGGTTTCAGGAAGGAGCTGGTTTGCGCCGGAGCTGGGAACTATGGCGAACGTGTTTCTTGTCTAGGCTTAGTGAAAGGAAGTGGTTCCGCGAAGTTGCTTCTTATCTAAGCAGGTTAAAGCGCGTGTCAACTAAGACCCTGGTGAACATGACTCTTGTCAAACCTGATGAAATGGTTTCGTCATCTAAGCCAGGTTAAAGTGCATCTTCTCAATTCAACCTGGTGAAAGTGCTGCTCAACAACTATGCCTTAAAGGTGCGTCTTGTGAACTAAACCTGGTGGATGCGTTTCTTGTCAACTAAGTCTGGTGAAGTTGTTTGTTGTCAGCTAAGCCTAGGGAAAGTGAGTCTTGTCAAGTACGCGTGAATGGCGTATTGTCATCTCCGCCGACCCCTTGCCGAGAGCGAGGCGCACGGGAAGGCTGGTGATCATATCTGCTTCATCATCATTGTGGTGATCATCGTCATCATCGTCATCATCAGTAACTCACTATCATCATCATCATCATCATCATCATCATAATTATCGTGGTCACCACCATCATCGTCACTTGCAATGCAGGGAATGCCTCATCCTCATCATAGACCTTAGAATTCTGCAAGATGCAGATGGCTTGCAAGAAGTCTGTAACCCTGCAGCATACAAATATTTATTTGAAGCCTAGACACTCCCGGACTCTTATGTGTAGATGTTGGAAGTCATGTCCTGCATCGCTTGCAGTGTTGGGGATGCCATCTCCATCATCAGCAGGGGATGCTGGGGATTTTAGGATGATAGTCACGACGACGTGGACGATCCAGCATCAAGAAGCCAGTATCTCCGCAGCCCCTGCTGGGACACAGACATTTGCATGTTCAAATCGTGGACTCTCCTGGGCTCTTAATGGCATCATCGTTATCAGCTGGGGATGCCGGGGATGTTACGATAATAGTTATGACGATGCGGGTGATGAGTTCGTGGGTGCAAGGTTTTTTAGGGTGGGTGTTTGGTCGGCTTAGGGCTGGTGTAGGGTTGGTTTAATCCAGGCTGAGGGTGAGAAAACAATGTTGGGGGGGTGAAAAAGGCAAGCCGTGGGTGAAAACACACAAGGTCGGTAGTGAACAACACAAGACGGAGGGTGAACAAAAACCAGGCGAGGGGTTGAAAAGAAAGGAGTTCTCAGGGTCAAACAAACAAGGTTCCTCCCAAGCATGGTTTGAGGGTTCAATTTAGCCCCAATGCAGTGGGTGCTACGACGACAGTTGCGATGACACGGAACATGACAATCGCCATTGACGTAAAGCATCTTGTCAACTAAGCCTGGTGAAAAGTAAGCCTGGTGGAAGTGCTTCTTAACAACCGCTAAGCCTGGTGCAAGCGAGTCTTGTCAACTAGGCCTGTTGAAACTGCATTTTGTCAGCCAAGAATTGCCATTTGTCAAGTAAACCAGGGAAGTTGTTTCTTGCTAACTAAGCTTGGCGGGCGTGCTTCTTGCCAACTACACGTGATGCCTACAGCGGACTCTCTTGGCATCTCAGAAAACAAACTGACACCTCGCATGGGTGGATTGACAAAAGGCTCACTTCAGAAGCGTTGCGCAATGTGGGGAAGCTGCTTGTGAACTTGTGATTCAGGCGGACATTTGGATCATTTGATATGCGCATTTTCTGAGACTACTGGCCTACCAGCTGTTTGGATAAGCCTGCTTCACTGCTTCACTATCTTAATTCAACGGGAAAACATACGTACGCACACACGCCATTTCGTTTCACAGAAATCCAGTTCGCAGCATGTTTCCTTCCTTGTTGTTTGTGAGCGCAGTGGATGTGTCTTAAAGGACGAAGGTCCTGAGAGAGACGCGTGGTGCGAGAGGGCGAGAGGAAAACGTGCGCGAATGTATTATTGTGAGCCACAGGCAGGCGCATGGATCCTGACAATAAGGCGTAAGCGGCGCTGCGGCACGGATGGCAGCGCCATTGTTCAACATTGGCCGCGCGATGAATTTGGCGTACGGCCCCTGCGGGCTTGTGTTCAACATTGCAGACACGGAAAGCAAGCCGGCGCGCTCTGTGACGCAGAGTCAGATCCGGACGAAGTACAGCCCTGCTGGACGATTGTTCTGCTGTCGACCGCGCGGCATGTTCTTGGAATTGACGATTGGTGAGGCCGGCGCGCAATTGCCAAGCCAGGTGAGCTCAGCAAAGAAGGCAACGCTTGCGCGTTTTTGCGGGAGAGCATTTGGCCCAGCACTTGGCGACTTTGGCTGCGGACTGACTCTCATCAGGCTTATTTGAAAAGAAGCACTTTCACAAGACTCACTTTTGAACAGGCTTAGTTTACGAGAAGCAATGTCACCAGGACGACGCAGGGCCTCTCCATTCTGATTGGCCTAAGGTCCCCCAAAGACGAGCAAGCTGAGGCTTGAAGGTTGAATTGTCATTCCCGGTGAGGGGAACATAGTGAAAGACTGATGTTGGGAGAGTGTACCGGCGTGCTTGTACTGCAGTGCTGACATTTGCAGTTGCTGCGGATGGACGTAGCTCTGTGCAAGGCTGGCTGTATACGCACTGGTCCAATGTTTCTCTCTGCATGCATCAATCGCAAGTGGCTAGAAGGTCCCCAATGCACAAAGGGAGTTCAGAAGGAAAAATAGAAAGACATGGGACAACAGGCGACGACCGCATGCAACCCAAACGGAAAAGGGAAAAGCATCTGGAAGCTTTTGTCGCGAAAAGCTCCTTGGGCCAAATCGCAACCACAAGAACAAACATGTCACAAACGCCAGAAGTAAACCCCTTTGCTCCTGACTGATAACCTAAGCAGCCATAAGAACGGCTCTGTTTTCTGTTTGTTCCCCGTTTCCTTCCCTGATGTTTTGTCAGCTTGATTCTTTCTGGAACGAGCAGCGACAAGAAACTCCAATGTGCTTCTTTCGCTTTCAGTGGCCCAGAACTCCAATCTTTGCACGCTGCTCTGTGCTGCGGCTTTGGCGCCATGCTGGTCGAGCAAGACTTGGTGAACGCTCGCTAGTTTTCAGCTGTCGTAGCAGTGGCTTCCAGAAATGAGTTTGGCATCCTGCAGGCGCTGCGAGAGGAGCTCTTCAGGTGACGCAGTCGCACGTGTCGATAGGTATCACGGTATCACGTGGCGAATACACTCCAACTCCGGCTGTGTCGGGAGTGGCGGCATTCTCGTGAGGATCTGCTTTGAGAGCTCCAGGTACTAAATTCCGAGCTGGGAGTTTTGTCTGAAGGTTGACAAGACTCCCTCCTTCACCTTAGACGAGACAAACCAATGCCATTTGACGAGACGCACTTCCAGGCAGAGCCGCCCTTTCACCAGGCTAAGACTCGTTCGCTTAGTTTCCAGCTTCGCTATCGGCGAAAACCAGCTTGCTGAAACCCGCGCCCAATCCGCTAAGGACCTGAGACGTATCTTTTTAATTCTTCTTTACCATATGTTGCTCTTTGCGACTTTCTCGACTTTCTCGACTTTCTCGACTTTCTCGACTTTTCGACTCGTTCCCTCGGTCGCCTTCTTCTTGGTGGCCTTGTTGCCGCCGGAGGTCTGCGCAATGCTCTGCAGCTCCTGCGGCACCTCCTGCCCGGCGTCGCGGAGGACTTTGCACAGGTCCCCCGCGTGCGCCTGGCAAACGACAAGTCAAACAACCAAATCGACCAAATGACTCTTCTGAACGTTTTGAACATGTCTCAATTCTGAGTTCATTTCGATTCCGGGAACGGAATCGTCTCGCTTCACGCTCTCGCCTTCTCATCCTGGGCACCTTTGGAGTCTGGACAGAAGAAGCAAATGGCAAGACCTCAGTGCCCATGTGCCCATGTGCCCGTGCTCAAGACTTCCCCGGCCCCAGCCTTTCTTGCCGGCTCGGCCTGTCCGGCCTATTCGATGCACGTAATCCTGGGCTTCGCACAGGCCTTTCTTTATGGCCTTTTTATGCCTTTTCTCATCCCTTTTCTCACGAATGCGACTCGGCCTCGATGGTCAAGGGGAAGGTGTAGTTGATCACCAACTCCACATCCTTTCCATTCCTTTCCCGTCTCTTTTCAGCGGTTTGTTGCTCTAGCGCCAGCCTGAACATCCAAACCTCTGCTGGCCACGTCTGTGGCAATGAGAGGCGTCCTCAGTTTGGCAGCCCGAATTGACCCAACTCGACAACTCGACTTGCCAAAGGACTTCTCGGTTGCCTTGAAGTCGGTGATGGCCTGTTGAAACACGGGATACTGATACCGGATATCACAGACCCATAGGCTCATAGGCCCATAGGCCCACATAGACCATGGCCTGTGTCCTCTTGTCTTGCGACATGTCCTACAGACGAGTTCCCTGCATGCCGTCGCTCAAGGCTTCGGGGCTCCGGCTCCCTGCAAGGCAATCACCTTCTCGTAGCCCTTTTCCCACCTTGTCAAACATCGAACCAATATTGTCCCCGACTCATGTCAGGCCCACGCAGGAATTTCTCCAGCCACGCAGTCTCCTTCCATGCAGAAAAGCCTTTAGCTCCCCACTTTGCTATTGCCCACACGTTCACGAGTCCTTCTTGTAAAGTCCGAAAATAATCACCTCTTGAAGGCTGCACAGTGCATGGTTATGGCCAAAGTGCGTTTGGCCTTCTTATCCGGGCTGTAGTGCTTCTTGAGATGCTGAAGCAAGCGAGTCGGCTTGTCCTGCACAGGCTGTTTCTCAACGCTTCAAGAGAGTCCCTTGGAGTTCGAAGTTCGCATGTCCGAGAGACTTAAGTGCAAGTTATGACATTATGCAAGTTCTGGAACGTCGTAACGTAGGACAGTGTACAGGCTGCCAGTGTCCTTCTCGCTCTTGATAACCTGAAGCACTCTGAACCCGGTCTACCCTCCACTCCCTAGGCCCGCCTCGACCAGTTGTCTGATGGCAGTGTTGGCCACCATGCCCTCATCAACGGAGCCAATGCCAACCTGAGTGTGGAGTTCGGCAAGGAACCAATAGGCAACACCAAGCAATACCGAGCTACGCAAATTCAGCACGCATCGATTGATATCATGCAATACAAGCAGGTGGCATGCACGGGCTCACTGAGGAACTTCGTGGCCAAAGCATGCACGGTCGCCTCACGGGTTCAGCAGCCCTTCTCATTTGCGCGCCCGCTCACGCGCTGGTGTGCCCTCACATTCCAATCCGGGTATGATTCAGGTGCGGGCAGGCCAAGTGGCACCTGGAAAGTCATGTCAAGTCCACAACTCCGAAGGTCTCCAATCCAGTCCCCATCTTCATCTCACGTCTCAGGGGCGAGCTGAACATGCAGGTCTGCCTCCTACGAGAAGGTCAGCTCTTGGCTCTCGGCACTCGGCTCTCGCACTTTGAGGCCGGGACTTCCCAGCCTGGAACGGAGCCGAAATGAGCCGAAGTCCGAAGGCATCCGAAGGCATCCGAAGGCATCCGAAGGCATCCGAAGGCATCCGAAGGCATCCGAAGGCATCCGAAGGCCGGACGAAGCGGCGCCTTGGGCATTTTGCCGATCAGAGCTTTCACGACGTCGATGAAACCCATGTCCAACATCCTGTCAGCCTGGCCGGATGTCTCACTAAGGCACTTGGAAGATCTTGGAACGCGCTGAGTTTGAGTGACCGTGACACGCACGTTCGCTGGGTGAGAGCTTGCCTGGATATGACCGTGAAAGGAGCCTATCTACACACGGAGATGATCTTCATCCCTCCAAAGAAGCCATGCAAAAGCATCTGACTGTGCCGCTGGCAATGCCGTGTGGCTGGCTGGTGCAGCAACGCAAGACGAAACTATAGACTCTAAGCAGGCAGGATCTCTCCGACAATGTTCCAGCTTGGCTCTGGCTTGCGATCGGGCGGGTGCGGTGCTTGCCTTTGTGGGACCTTGGACACGGCGGGCGCTTTCGCCGCGGGCGCTTTCGCCGCGGGCGCTTTCGCCGCGGGCGCTTTCGCCGGTGCATTTGCCGCTGGCGCTGGTGGTGCCTTTGGCGCAGGTGACTTGAGCGATCCCAGAGACGCCAAAGATGCCACGCTCCGCGGGGAGCCGAGCGTGGCCCCTGTGCTGATGGCCGCTGTGCTGATGGCTCGCAGGTCGGGCTCCGAGCACACCCGGGCCCGCGCGGCCCGGGCGCGCGGCACAGCACGGGCTTCACTTCGGGCGCACCTGAGACGTGTCTCGATGTAGCGGGGCACGGCAGGGAAGCTGGGGCCGCGATGCTGCCAGTTGGTCGGCTTCCACGCGGCCGCGTCCTTGCGCCTGGCGTCGTAGAGGCGGCTGACGGCGCCGTGCGCCACCCAGGCGCGCTCCGGCGCTGCCGCGCGGTCCTGATCCCAGGGGTTCAGGTCGCAGTGCGGCAGAAAGCCAAAGGTCCCGAAGCAGCTGTCGCTGTGGGCCCAGTCCACAGCCCAACTCTTGGAGCGGGTCCTCTCCTTGGGCTTCCTCTCTGGGAAGCCCCAAGAGGGGATCGCCGGGTTCAGCTCCCGGCCCACTGTGGAGATCCTCTTCCACTCCTGCGTCCGAAACTCAACACTGGAAAGAGTCAGTGGAAGGGGGACAAGCCTGCCCAGCCCACCAAGTATCAAATTCCATGTCAAATGTGCTCACAATGCAGTCCGGCTGGTGAAACTCCCCGAGGGTCTTCGCAGACTCTGTGATGCGAGCCGAAGCTGTCAGCAGTGTCGGGGTCTGTTTCGATTGAGAAATCTTGCCCAGAATGTCCTTGCATCAAGTGTGACAGCCAAGCCTTGTGGAACAAACACATGATAGATTGTCAAATGCATCTAAGTCTCGTCAAAGCTCACATCGGAGTCACCTGGTGGTTTGGCAGCATGTGGCAATTGCAAGTTGGCAATGGCTCTCATCTGCCTTCTTCATCCCAAGGCTCGCGTGTCGCTTCGCCTGCAACTGCCTCAGCAACATGTTTAGACCGCAGCTGAGTCTGAAAGATTCGGTGCTCTATTCGTCCTTGCGCCATGCTGCCGAGGCACCATGGGCTTTGCGGGCTTTGCGGGCTTTGTGGGCTTGGGTGAAACGCTGCCTTTGGCCCCAACACCTCTGACTTTGAGCTATGAATTGCTTCGCGACGTCTGCCCGGGACTCTGTTCCGTGCTTTGAGAGCTAATGGCTGCAAAGTATAAGTCGAGTCCCAAATGCCAATTGGAAACTTCGGACCCGCCTCGTCCAGCACCAGATATTGCCTTGGCTCGCGGATCTGAGTTCTTTGACGCTCGGCCCCGGAGGCGCTGACACAGAGCTCAGGTCTAAGGACTCTTCGTCCACCAGGTCCTGCCATCGAACTCGGGAAGACAGAACAGAAGTACAGAAGCGTGCAAGTAGCGTGCAATGTGCAATAGCATTCGAGGAATAGCACTAGAGCACGCTAGCATTCGCGTTTGCATTCGACTCGATCCTGCAGCCGGCCCGGGGTGCAAATCGCCATGTCCACGCCGGTGCCGGTGAGTGCTTGGCGCTGGTCGTGCTTAGGGACGCCCCCGTAGATGCACTGCACGGGGTACAGGCCCTAGGCCGCCGGAAAGCCGGAAGATCCGGAAACAAATCTCTGAGTTGAGCTCGTCATCTCCGGCTGTCAAGGCCTTTACTAGATCCGAGCAAACCTAGGAGCGGGCATGCAGAGAACATTTCAACGTGCGCGCAGCCTCGGCGATCTGCATCGCCAGCTCCCTGCCCGAAAGCTCGAAAAGCCGAAAAGCCCATGCCCATGCCGAGCTCAAACCGACAACAATTGAATCGAGTGCTTGCGGCGCGACTTTCGTGCCTGGTGGGGGCCATAGCCACGAAGCGTGGCGAGGCGCAGGGCTGCTCGAAGACCTCCAGCTGCCCCAGCCTCGCGGAAGCCGAGGGAAAGAGATGGAAAGAGATGGAAGCAAATGGAACGAATCGGAGAGGACGGAACATGCGTTCGGATCTCCTTGACATGGAGAGGTATGGCAGGGCGAAGGCCAAGGTCTTCCCGCTGCCTGTCCTTAAATCAATTTTGCACGTCTCACACGGGCCAGATCGGTATCGATGCCCAAGCGTGGCGCTTCGCGATGCCGCAGACATCGCTCTTCCTTGGAGCTGACGGGTTCCGAGGAAAAGCGCGCTGAAGTGATCTTGAGTAACTTGGGCCGAGTGTCTGCATGATCAATGGCCAAGTGCATGCCTGGCAAGCTGACGGCTGGCAAGCCAATGGTGTGCCGTGAGGGCCTGAATGGGTGTGGGCTTGGCAAACTTACTCTGACAATACCTGGTCACTAGACATGCCAAGTGTGGATTCAGGGAGCGTGGGTCACTTCACCAACCGCTTCGCGAAGCCATCAAACTGGAACCCAGCGAGTGGTGTGATGTCGATGTCCTTGCCCTCCGGGATGTGAACCTTGATCGAGTTCTCCTCGAAAAAGGCCTGCAACAATAGTACCAAATAATTTTTAGCATCTCCTATTGCCTCCGGACAGTCACTCGACCTGTTTCCGAGAAAAGGCGTTCCAAGACTCGTTGCCTTGGCATCATCCACCGTAAGAAGCGTCTTTTGCTTCTTCACCTAGCGAAGCAAGAAATTGAGCCGCCTGACCTGCGAGGAACCCTCTCCTTGGTGTTGGGCTTGTCCTTCTGCTCTCCATTTCTCTTTCCAGCAGCCATGGGGCGAGACGCGTGAATGGCGCAAACAGTACGTGTCACCAACTGATGTAAGGTACATGCTTGTCTTCCTGCTCCGGACTGTGGACTGTGGAAGCTTGCTGCTGCAAGACATATCACAACTGTGTTGTGGCTACTTTGTGAATTTCAAGACGGCTGCACTGAGAAGGATCTGGCCAGCTCAGCGCATATTCGCCCACAAGGCAAGTACTTTTCTGCACTTACAACCGGGGAATGCGGGTCGTCACAACTCAATTGCAGTCGTCTGACATGGTGATTGCGGTCGCTTGCGGATGTTTGCGACGGCTCTGGGAGTGAAACAGCGGGCTTTGCCCCGGTGAGACTCGGCATGCAGGTGAGACTTATCCGAAGATGCCTGGGTTGGCCGCATGCACCTGGCATCTGGCCATCTGGCCATCTGGCCATCTGGCCATCTGGCAATCTGGCAATCTGGCAATCTGGCAATCTGGCAATCTGGCAAACTGGCAAGGCAACGCACATAGCTTTTCTCTGCCCGTTGCCTGGCCCAGCATGGACCTCTCCTCCTCCGGGAATGAGGAGAGAGATCGCCGAAGCAACCTGGGCAATGATCTAGGCTGTTGGAAATCCACCGACAAGCAACTTTCCATGTAACGTCGCATCTAGGGCTGGCGCTTCTTGTGCAAGACTCGCACCCAAACGTGGGTCTCCGCATATGCCGACTCCACGTAGTGCGGCACCTGGAGACTTCCGGGCTCCGATGTCGCAGCTCGAATCGGCGCGCCTGGTCCAGCACGGCCATGTCGCCCAACGTGGTGCCGGCCTCCACGATCTCAGGCTCCCGGCGCCCCAGCACCTCCAGCACGGATCCGTCCGATCTCTCAAGCCCAACCCTCGCGCCTCGAGCCGGATGCGGCCGGCTCGAACGAAGTACATGAAGTGGCCCTGATGGAGTGGACTCGGGAGCATGGAGTCTCATGGAGTCTCATGGAGTCTCATGGAGTCTCATGGAGTCTCATGTCTCTGAATCTCTCCAAAGGCCTCTTCATACTGCTGGTAGATCTTCTCGCCCGGCCAGAAGGCAAGATCCTAGAGTTTCTTTCAGATAGTCTTCGACAGGCCGTACTTTCGTGTTCTGGTCTTTCTCCTTTCTCCCGCCTCCACGATCTCCGCGATCTGCGCGACGAAGCTCTTGGAGCAAGCACGGAAGACCTGTGATCCGTAGGCATGGAATGAGAAACGGAGAAACGCGCAAACGGCAAAAGTCCGTCCTCGCTTTGCTCGACGCAGTCCGGCACGTTCTTGGCACCTGCAACACATGGCTGCCATGCCAAACATTGCAAACATTGAAAACTTTTTTGCAAACATTCAAAAAAGTCCAAAAAGTCCAATGTCCTGTTGATTTGTCACCTGGCACCTCGCCTAACGTCAGCCGAGCTCTCTCTCTCGCTCTCTCTGAGGTTTCGGCTTCCGTCGCCCACAGGGAAGCCGAAGGCATCGAGAATCTCTCCACCCTCGAGCACCCGCACAGAGGCCGTGTACCTCACCGGAAGTCACCGAAGCGATCAAGAGACACAAGACACAAGAAGACACAATAAGACACAAGACTGTTGCCAGGCCACGGCAACATGTCGTCCTCCATGAGTTCGTCATCCAGGGCTTTTTGGATGGTGGACTGCCTAGCCATCGCGCGGCTCAGTCTGCCTTCAGGAGATTTCAGAGACTCGGAGACTCGGAGCCAGGCTGTAGCAGCAGGCAGTCGCAGGCTTGGGTGGATCGAATTGTCACCTCATGACTCTCCGTTCACCGATGCCCACACGGATTGTGCGCTGGGCGTCTGGCATTTGGGGCTGGGCACTGGAGCTCCATGAAGTGATGCAAGCCCACGTGGCCACCTCTCCGACTCACGCCGCGCGGCTACAACACACATGGAGCTCAAAACTCTTGTGGATCCGGTGGACCTCCCGCCTGCGCCGATGCGCCGCACTTCGATGCCCATGATGGTCAGGGACAACTGGCACGGCTCCGATGGCTTTCCAGCTCAGTGGGAAAAGAAAACAAGCCCAAGCAGCCAAAGATCAATGAAGCCAAGGCTTCCAAGGTATTCGAATGTTCAAAGAGTGCGCGCCTCACCCCTCAGCACAAATAGCATGGAGTTGTCATCGATGATCTCGCCCGGCGAGTACAAGAGCGAGCCTCGCGGCCAGACATGGCCAAACCAAAGTGTGCTGAGTTTGCACTGAGTCCTGGGCACGGTCGGTAGTACACGGGCCTTGCTTCCTCCACCACATCCGAGAGGAGGGGAGCCTACCGAATCTGAGATACCGGGAGATCTGCGCTTCGCTTGCCGCTCTGACGCTCTGAGGCTCTGAGGCTCTGAGGCCGAGGACGGGAAGCTTGGCAAAGACGCTCAAGGCTGACACGGTGGAGGTGACTGTGACTGACATGCTCGTGAGCCTCGCCTGACGGATCTGGGCAGTTGGTTTGCTTCCTCCAGGTCTCGTTGGCAATGACCACCTCATGTTCGGCATGCGGCATGCTGCATGCTTTTGCCACAAATGGCACTATGGACCCGCCTTCCGCGTGTCCGGATAGGCCACCATTGCATTCTGCATGGCGTGGCGGTACAGCACCAGGACCAACACATTTGTCACCTGCTTCAGAAATTTTCAGATGTGGGTCTTCGCGGACTCCCGTCCGCGCGACTGCAAGGCCGGTGCCGCGACAGCATCGTGGCCGAAGGTGGGCGTGTTGCCCAAGATGTTGTCCTGGTAGCACCACTCCCCACCTGAGAAACGAGAGAAAATCGCGAATCCGAACGACCAGATCCCAAATCCGCATCGGATCGGATGGAGAGTCGGGCGGTGCAGCTCCACGAAGAACAGTGTCTGCGGCTGCTCACACCTCGGGAAGAAACAGACAATCAAAGCTATCACATAATACAATTATATGGATATATTTGATCATTAATGTACTATACCTATCTGTACCTTTCACCTTGAAAGCACGCACCGATCATCACCCATTGATGTCTCAGGATTGGGCCGCACTTTGCCGGCCAGGACCACCATCATAGCCGCGGAGTCATCCTCGGAGTGCAACGTCTCCCTAGTCCGACTCGCGGTCGGAATGTGTCCCGACTGCGACCGCGTCTGGGGGTTTTGCGCCAGCAAAAGCCACCATGTCGCCGGCGCAAAAGAGGCGAATGTCCGCATCCTGAAGTTCAGTCAAACCGAATTCCGAGGAAGTCGCATGCTCGCCTTGTGCAACCGAGTGAGGAAAGGCTGGTATGCGCAAGATCCGAATGCCGGAATGTTCTTCAGGATCCGCCAGTCTGCCTCCATTGCTGTGATCCGTACCGATCCGTACCAACGCAGTGCACGCCTCCTTGCCCTCTTGGAGTGACTGCTCCAGTGCTCGCAGACGGGCCTTTGGCAGCGGGTGACCTGGCAACTCAGTCGGACTCAGCCGGTTCGAAAAGTCAGTGTCGGCGCACCATCCAGCATGTCCAGCAGCTTCTGTCGAGTCATCACCTGCACCCAAAAATCACTCGAAGCCTTGGACACAAGGTGTTCCTTTCAAACTAGCCCCGGCTTTTTGCTTGCTCCGGCTCAGCACAAGGCCTCCCCGCATGTGGCTCCAAAGGGGTTGGCCGAATTCCCTTGCTTCACTCTCAGGTTGGGGGCAACAGGCGGTATTGTCTGGGGGCCTTGTTGGCCAGACTGGGGGTTCGGGGTGGTTGGCCGCATCCCCAGCATCACCGACCCCACTCGCTGGGGCTGTTTGTTGGCTTTGATTTGGTGGCAGTTCAGATTTGCTCGGGGAGTGTTGGGCTTGCTGAGGTCTTAATGAGGGCGGGTCTTGGGCGTCTTGGGTTTGTTGGGCTGATATCCAGGATGCTGCTGGGAGACTTTAAGGTTGACTTTGAGTCGGTTTGGGTTGGTTTGGAGCTGATTTGCGCTAGGTTGCGGCTTCAGGCCCAAACGCTACTGCAAAAAACGAGCCACTCCAAAACCGACCGACCAACCAGCCAACCAACCCGCCGGGGCGAAGCCCCGAGCCGGGGCTGGCAAAGAACAAACACCGCTTCCCCTTGGACTCTTTCAAACAGGCAGGCAACGGCAAGAACGGCAAGCTGCCTGGATCATGGCTTCCCCGTTGCAGGTGGGCGCCACCTGCACCTGAGAGTCTGAGAGTCTAAAAAAGAGAGGCCGGAATCGCGAACTGGTCCGGTCGAACGGTCGAGCGGTCGAACGGTCGAGCGGTCGAACGGTCGAACCGTCGAACGGTCGACTCGCGAGACGCGGGCACTGGGGCTGCCGCAGTGCGCGTCCAGCCGTTGAGCGCCAGTAGCTGGGCAGCGCCCTGCACAGATCCTGCCAGACCCCCGTGACATGACTTGCTTCTTGCTTGCGGCAAGGCTGTTGCCTCTCTTCATCTCTCTCATCTCTACTCTGTCTTTCTTTGTTCTTTGTTCTTTGCTTTCGATTGCTTGGTTTTCTCATTCCTCCTTCCTTGCTTCCTTGCTTCCTTGCTTCCTTGCTTCCTTGCTTCCTTGCTTCCTTGCTTCCTTGCTTCCTTGCTTCCTTGCTTCCTTGCTTCCTTGCTTCCTTGCTTCCTTGCTTCCTTGCTTCCTTGCTTCCTTGCTTCCCGCCTTGCCCCACGTTCTCGATCTCCCGATCTTCCAGCAGGACCTGCGCCGGCACCGTCCCTGCGAACACGTGTCTGAGACTCTGAGAACTCGACCACACAGGATCCGTGCACCAAGACGAAAACAAAGTCTGCTTCCGGCTCCTGCGGATCTGCAAGCTACATGTAACGCCATGCAAGCCCGGCTCATGCGGGACTCGGGGAATAGGGAAGCAGCTGGAGAAGCCTCATCGGCTACAATGGTTTCACCAGGTAGTAGCCATCGAGGCTCCCAAGCCCTGCACGCCATGCAGACGCCATGCAGATATGTGAGTTGTGAGTCGGCATGTGCCGAAAAGCCTCACCAGCTGATCCAGCAAGCGAGGAGGTGCATCATGCACCAAGTCCTCAAGAAGAAGCCATTTGAAATGGGCGATGCCATCTGCGTGAAGTGGGCATGGAGTGTGGCATGGACGCTGCGTGTGAGTGCCCCGTCCCAAATCACTGAGTAGCTCTTCAGCGCACTCATCAGCACGTGCTCGAAGGCATCTGCACCAGGAACTTGCCTGTGAAGGCAAGAAGAAGAAATTTGTTGCACCTTACGGCTTCAGAGAGCCTGTAGCGACCACTGGGCTCTGCGAAGGCCTGGGTGCATCAAATGTGTTAAAGGCCCGTCGGGCGCTGGGCGGACCGCGAAGGTACCAGCAGCAGCCTCCGCTTGGTCGCCCCGGTCCTGGCGAATGTTGGGAATCGGGACGCTCGGCACTGAGATGCGCTCCTTGTGCGCGGGCGGCCCGGTAATCTAGGCATGGCACAATGGCAACGCCTTCGAGCTGAGCTGAGGCTCAGGCAGGGCCCAGGTGCGAGGGGCGGTCCTTGACCTTTGACTCGACTTCTCATGACTTCTCCACTTGCGCTGTCAACTTAATCGAAACGTCAGAGTGAAGAGCAGCAAAGCCCTTTGAAAGCGTGCGACTTAGAAAATGCGGCGCCTCGTTCTTGGTGGAGGGTAAAGCCTTGAGCACCTCCAGGCGGTCGTGGATCCTGAGGCCGAATCGAGTTTTGCTCCCTCGGGAAAGCATGACACTCGAGAGAGCTGGACAGCACTTGTCTGGCGTTCCATGTCATCATGTTCCGTATGTTCCGTATGTTCCATATGTTCCATATGTTCCATGCTCAGGGCCCCACGTCAGCCCTTGGGGCATGAAGAGCTCGACTTCAGCGCCTCTCGAGATTTCATCCGACTCAACGCAGAAGCATCTGAGGCTCGTGCAGTTGCCCAGCGCTTGGAGCAACACCGATCTGTGCAAGATGGCCACCAGCACCTGCCATACATGCCATGACGCACTGTCAAGGCGATATTCAATTGCTAACTTGTTGTTTCATATTATCTTTGGGGTCTCTTTTCTGAATTGCCGGCGGCACCGGCCCCTTGGCCCTCACCACGCCCGAGAGCACGATGGGCACGCCCAGCAGCGCCAGGCGCCCCAGCTGGCGGATCGAAAGATCGACATGTTTCGAGGGACATCCACATGCGCAACATGCGCAACATGCGCAACATGCGCAACATGCGCAACATGCGCAACATGCGCAATGTTGACAACGATTCTTCCCATGCGAACCTCTAACTCTGAATAACCCCGAGGCAAACTTGCTCATCCGGGCCTGCATGCCAGGGCCCAGCACCGCCTGTGGCTCCGGCGGCGGCTCCTCCTCCGGAGGGTTCAGAAAGAGCCGCACCTGCGCGAGACGCTTTCCCATGCTCAGCCTCGCTCGTCTCGCCTGCTCCGCCACCTCCAAACCGTATGAGCTGAGGAGCCGGGCCTCAGCCGAAAGCCGATCCTATGGGTCTCTCGGTCTCTGGGTCTCTCTCAAAGGCAGCGTGGGTCTCTGAAGTTGCCTGCGATCTTTTGGGGTTCTTTCCAGTCTGTTCCCTTGTCAGTTCATCATTGTTCAAAGCTGCATTTGATGAGTGAGTGCCGTTTGCGACGCTTTTGCAATCTTGCTTCTTGCTCAGCACCTCTATTTGTCCTTCACCCAAGCCCGTTTCGGTCTCAAACTTGTGTCGCTTTCCACTGTCGTTTTCCTGGATCTTCATTTGCTACGTAATTTGTGCCCCTTGGGCCTGTTTTATCGCATGCATTTGCTCACGGCTGGCGCGTTGTTTCAGGGGATTGGGCGCAAACTGCGGTTCGAGCATGCTTTGCGATTTTGGCGGCTTCTCCCTTCTTGTGAACGGGCGCAAATACCAGCAAAACAGGCGCACATATCTGCAAAACAAACGCAAATCCGACACATGTAATTTGCAGAACCCTCTGGAATGAAACGGGTGTTGTTTGCAGGTACGAGCACTTTTGGGATCATTGGGCGACAAAAACGTGGCACGTACATGTTTTGTTTTTATTATTATTATTATTTGTTTTTTAGTTATTTTTTTCGTGATGCACATTTATGTAACAATGGAAGGTCCAGGTTGTTTTGTGCGGGCGATATATTTCAGGAGGATGAACATTTAATGCGTCTACCACACGAGTGAGTTGCAACGACATGCAGGCCATGAACAAAAAGCACTGGGACGTTCAAGGCTGAGCCAACAAAAAACATAAATTGCATACTGGCGTGTGATCAACTATGAGCGACAGTCGGACAGAAGTGCCGGGTATATCACGAGTCTTTGCTGCAACATGCGTTTCCGTTTTTCAGCCTGTGTCCGGCGTGGTAGTCTCTGCCGTGTCGGAAACATCAGGAGGAGGGCTGCACACGGCGCACAGAGTCACACCTGCCTGACGGACCGTCAGAGCACCTTCCCGTGCGTGAACAAAACACGATGCTCCTGACCAGCTACTGTAGCTTGGGTATAATTGGTGAATCAAGAGTGCAAGGGGGCTTGGATTGTTGCCTGCCCGTTTGCCCACCTTCCCGCTTGAGTGCTTGTCTGCCTTCCTTCTACGTGCCTTGCCTGCTTGCTTGCTTCCCTGAAATGAACACGCAAGACAAACCCAAAGGAAACGGAAACAAGTACCTCGAAGGTAAGCCAGGTGCTCGCTCCAAGGTATCAAAGACCACCAGCACCTGTCGGTCACCCCATAGCCACCGCCAGTCCGATGTCTTCCTGAGACAAGGAGAGAAGACGACATTTCGGCGCTTGCGCAGTTCGGCACATGGAGCTCAGGTCCAGCAAGCCATCCTGAACAGGTTTATCAATGATCAGGGATGCAGCGATGTGCGGCGATGTGCGGCGATGCGCCGAACGCGCCAGTTTCCCGGGGAGGGATCCAGCTGGCCTCTGCCGCCTTCCTCAAATGCGCCTCACGAATGTGTCGAGAGAAAGACATGCAGCGAATGCATCAACCCGGCCATCGCCCTCTTGATGTTCTGTGGCAGCACCAGCGACACCATGGCCACCTGCCCGGCTTAGCTTCAAATGTCAAGCTAGGCCAGCTAGGCACTTTTCAAGACCTCGAGTCCATCCACTTCTCATCCCGTTGTGCATTGCAAGCGCGTTGCGCCTCCTGCTCGGCTGTTTTGTCGCCAAGCTCCGCCAGGTATTTCCGCACTTTCTCCTCCATCCGCTCCGGAAGCACGAACCATCACGAGACACGAGACGACACGCGATGCCATAGGCCAAATTTCCACGGCTCGACCCGATGATTTTGCTGAGGTCATGGCACGGTCCGCGTCAAGCTCTTGCTGCGGCGCCTTGGGCGCCAGCTTTGCCACAGGCATCACGGTGTTGTCCCCTGCAACAAACAACTGCACGCTTGCTTTGCACTGGGAACTTCATGAGTAAGAGCACAGGAAAACGACAGGCACGTTTTGGAGGTTGAGGTTTATGGATTTGATGTTCCCAAACACGGCAACCGCACCGGCTCTGCCATCTCGTCCATCCCCAAGCCAGGACTTCATGGCATCCTCCTCGTCTGCTTCCCAGGCCCGTGGCAGGCAGTTGCCTCCGAATACGCGCATCGCGCGACGTCGCGCGCAAGATTCGTGCTCGAGCATTCCAACATTCGAAGCTTTCAAGAAGCAGGAGACTAATGTCGAAGACGTTGCGCCTGCGCAGCCCTCCGGGACCAGCGCCTCCACCTCCGGACCGCGCCGGACCGCTAGATGACATGAGACGGGCGAGGCGCGTGCCTGGCCGCGGAGGATGAGGATGGCGCAATCTCCAGGTACCCCAGGCCGCAGGATGGTCTGCTTGTCGAAGTAGTATCTGGTGGGCTTTGCTTTCTCAAGGTGCCTTAAGCAAATACATTTTTCTGTATAATAATATGTCTATATATATGTATATGTTGTAATATCTCAAACCATATCTGAAGGCCAGTTCGAGACTGTGAGCTCATGACCCAGGCCTTTCCTCGATACCTTCTGGCAGGGGACCAGAGACGGATGTTCCCAGAGCATTGTCCACCATGAAGACGGACTGGCAGCTCGGATCTCGATTGATTCCGAGGTGAAATTGCGTGAAACGGCGAAATCCAGACCTGGCCCGGGATCTGCAAGAAGTCCAAGGGCTTGTCCGGACCATCCACCGGCCCAGGGTTCCAGGTCAAGAGGTTCCGCGCTTCCTGTCGCGCTCTCCCCTCTCCCCTCTCCTCCCCTCCCCTCTCCCTCCCGTTTGGAGCCGGAATGCAGTCCCGTGCAGTCCCGTGCGGTCCTTGTGATTCAGCGAGTCGATGCGATCCAAGGAGAGCTCGTTGAAGTACGCCACCTCAGCGCGCGGAACAGGCACAAGCGCATGGCCCTCAGTCGCTCCTCGTGAGCCCACTTCAGCCGCATGATTCGGGGGTCGTCCGGATCCTCAGCTGCATGCGCAACGTGTCCAAAGGCACCGCCGAATTCTTGCCCTCACCTCAGGCTGCACAGCATTCTCGTCGATGACTTTCTCCAGCAGCCTCAGGCGCCCAATTGACCGATGACTTTCCACACTTCAAGACAATGTTGGCGGATGCTTCAAATATGTGGGAAAGACCGTTGATGGAAAAGAAACCTCTCACTCCAAGTGCTTGTGCTCGTCCAAACCAAGTAACTAAGAGGGGGCATTGCTGCTGGCACAACAGGAAACCGCGGGCGAAAAAAAACAAAAACAGCACATGCTCGAATGCTGCGGGTTGTCGTGGCGTGTCAAGGCAACAAAGAAGAAAACTGATGGGTAGCATTTCGAAGTAGTGAAAGAGCACTGCGATGCAACCCAAAAAAATCACATCAATGGGGACATGTTGCAACGCCAAATGACGGAGGTAGAACAGTCCAGGCAACTTGGGGGACTTCGTGTGTGCGCCGAGCTGGCAACATTATCGCATGTGCGTTGTGGCTTCCTTTGACCTTTGTGATGACTCTGGTCCATTTTCCTTTTTTTATATCAAATTGTCCTATCTGCCATTCTGCGATCGGCATCCGACTTCCGTTTTCCTTTCTTTCCTCATTTCTTTCTTGCTCGCTCTCCCTCTTTTCCTCGCTCTCGCTCTCTCTGTCTCTCTCTCTCTCTCTTTCGTTCTGGCTCCTTGGACTTCAACTCCCTCTTGCCTCCTTTCGTTAGGCTTTGTAACCGTAGACCTGTCCCATGCTCACTTTTTCACGCTCAATCTATGACTTCTTTCTCTTCCCCGATGTCGGATTTCGGTACCGTGTTTTCTACTCATGTTCTCGCGTTTCCGTTGAGCGCTTCGGAACTCTCTCTGAACTTTGAAACATCGGGAGCTGCGTTTCCGTGAAACTTCAGCTACGTTTGCGGGTTAGCTTTGGATCTTATGGATCTTGGGGCTCCGGGCAGCTCCGTGAGCGCCTGGCGCTGCACGAAGCGCACGCGGGCGCCCTCCGGGCCAGCGCGCAGCGCGCAGGTGCGCTGCTCCGAGCCCACGCCCAGGAACTCCGTGATGCCCTGCGCTGCACCGCTGCACCGCTGCACCGCTGCACCGCACCCGTGTTGCCGTGCCGTGGTGCTTCCATGGTACAAAAAACAAGCCGGACAGTTGGAGGAAAGAACAAGAGAAGCAAAGGGGAGAAACAAGGAGGACTAGCAAACACTGAGACCACAATGCTCCGATGCCAACTGAAAAGTTGGCCGTCCTGTGTTAAGCGGAAACTCCAGCCTGACGGCTGACAAGACATTACCCCCAGCGAAACTTTGAATCAAATCCACGAGCTCAAGCTTGCTTTGAGTTGGGGTCATCTCGAAAAGGGTGGAATTCACGGATGCATTCTGAGTCACGAGAGAAGAGTACGCCTCGCAGTCACCACGCTTCAGCGTCCGCACAATGCATTGACCGCCCTGCGATGCGGATCGATACGGATGGATACGGATGGATACGGAGCGTGCGCTGCCGACTCCCACAGGGGCGGCCTGCGGAGCATCTCCCACGAGCTTCTCCACTGTGCCTCTGATGATGACCACCTCAGCGCGTCACGGCGAATCCGCGTTCTCACGTTGTCAGTCGATGTCATTTGTGTCACGTTTCGATTGGTGCCAGGCGAGCTTGTCATCATAGTCACCTCCACGAGCAATGTACCTATTGGCGATGCCCTTGCCGGTGACCGGCACACGGATTTCGGCACTCTCCGGGATCCAACTTCATGCCGATGAAGGGCTTGTGCAGTGGAGGCCTGACTCAATACGCGCACGGAATGCCGCCATGCGCTCAACTCGCGCAAGTTCGCTCCATGGTCCCGGCAGCCGATCTTTGGGCAACTTCTCCAGGGTGCAAATCTCGTCGTAGTCCGGGTCGTACCACGTCTCCTGTCCGGCTTTGGCTCGGGCTCTGAATCTCGTGCCGTGCTTGCATTGCGGCTCGCGCGCACCTTGCCGGCGTCGTGGTACTCCCACTCACGGATGGCCCGCAACCTTGGAACGACCATAGAACACCATAGACCAGCTCTGCGCGAGTCATACTGCGCATGTCCCTCAGCGTCCGGCAACAGGCGCTTGAATTCAATGCCACAGCCCTAGACATCACAATCCGTGTGGCAATTGGCATGTGCCTGGTAACCTGCGCGTTTGCCGGCTTGCCTTGAAGAGGGGCATGTTCAGAACAAGGCCATCATCAACGGACCAGGCCTGGTCCATGAGAGACTGCAATGGGAGAGCCGCTCACGCACCGTGCCTCACCCGTCCATGGCTCCCTCCGCTTTGGCTTATGCACCTCAAGTCGTGTGAAGCGAGCCGCGACGAGCCGGGACGAGCCGCGAGCCGCGAGCCGCGAGCCGCGAGCCGCGAGCCGCGACTTGCGCTTTGAGGGACTGGCCACGCTGCCCGTGGCACTGCCGGTGGCGCTGGAGCCCTCCTTGGCGTCCTCCTCGTTCCTCTCATCCTATCCAAACTCATTCGACTCATTCGATTCATTCGGGTTTGGACATCATGTGCGGCACATGTACACAGAATGCAATCGAGAGACATCTGCAGTTTTTCCCTGGCGCTCTGGGCCGCAGGCGGCATCTCCCGTCGCCGACACGGAATCCCCAGGCTTCACATCCTCCTCGGCCTTGGGTACGTTCCGCGTTCTGAGGCTGGCCGCTTCCTATCTCTGGCCTCTTTCATGGCATTCTGCACATTCTCATTGCAACCCCGTTTTTGTGGCTCAATTCTGTCCGGGGCAGCTATTGCCTGTCATCGTGTTCTTCGTCCTTCGTTTGGCGTCCACATTGAAAGTGGTTCCATGCGTCGATTGCTCGCCCTTCTGTACCCATGCGGACCTGGAGCCCAAACATGCAGTGCTAGTGTCCAAACATGCTATCGGCATTCGACACGATTCGACATTCGTGCTGTACTTGAGAAGGTGTCTGCCAGCCGAAGCTTGGATGTTCCACACAAACTGTTGAGCCTTGCTCTGTCACAGCTTAGCTGACCAGAACAATGTGGCATCAAATAACGTGGAATGGTGCCGATGCCAATTGGCAAAGCACTCTGCCTCAACCTGCGCTTGCGCTGGCACTCACCATCTTGTGGGCGATGCGCATGAACTGTGGGAAGTTGACCTTACCGGGAGGCACATAAGCCCCGCAACGGAGTAACGGTTAGCCCCAAGTTTGGACTCACGGAGTATCACGGAATGCTGAGCTCCACTTGGCCATGGGCCAGCAAAGTGGGCCGATCCTTTGAGGATTCCTGCCATGTCAAGGAGACGGAGAGAGCGAGCGCCACACATTCACACACGCGAAAACACGACGCCGCGTATGGCGCACCCTCCCATCTGCTTTTGCTTTGGTGCTGAACACCGCCACTTCGGTCTTCACCTCAGTGGTGGTCCTTTCTGAAGAAAAGAACATTCCCGACTTGAAGGGTGGGGCATGGTGGGTCTGGTCTTTCAGCTCCGTGACTCCGAGCGCGGGGCAGCCTGCATGGCCGACATCAGGGCCGCTGGATTCCTCGACAGATCTGGCTCGAATCGGCTCGAATCGGCTCGAATTGGGACCGGCACTTGTCCGCCGACAGGGCGCGCCGAAGCTCCGTGATGTTCATCAGCGGAACCGGCAGAAGGCTTCGCACCTCGTCCTCGCTCTGGGAGCTTTGGGAGCTTTGGAAGTTCAGCTCAGCTTGGGAGCAGGCTTGGTCTTCGCCCACCTGGGACAGATACAGCGTGCGCAGAGCTGTGACCTTGGCCACACCAACAAATGCTCACACAGTGGGAGATGCGGAGAGCCTCCCGTTCATTGCAGCCGGTGTCCCGAACGGCCCACCTCTCCCGCAAGGCGTAATCCTTCGCCTCGCAATGGCTTTTGCACATCAGCATGTGTCAAGGCCGAGACGCGAACAAAGAGCTGGAGGAAGAAGCGCACGTATCGCAGGAAGACCTCAAAAGCTAAGCCTTCGCATAGCACCTCTTTCTCCTCTCTCGCGCCTTCAGGGTGATGGGCTGCCGCTCCAAGTCGCGCAGCAACTCGGAGAAGCTCTGCCGCATCCTCTCACGGACTCACCGCTTCAAGCGACGCAAGCGATGGGATCTCCGATCTGGGGCCCTTGCGGCTCCACAACGCCAATCACGAAGAGCCCGCGGCCGATGGCTGCCACCTCACGCCCGATACGCCCGATACGCCCGATAAGCAGCATCGCAGATCGCGCCTCCGACGGCAGAGCAACTTGGCCTCGAGGGGCGCACCTTCGCAACGCTTGGCGAGTCGCCGAGTCGCGACGTATTCGCGTCGTGCGCCACCTGCTGAAGAGGTTCTGAACTTTGGCCAGCTCGGCACCTGCAAAGCACGCCGTCGACCTGCAGCTGAACATGTTCAGGACACGTGCCAACAAATTAAATGGGCTCACGCGCACCTCATTTCCTGCAGCTGCATCTTCTTTCGCTTCACGCAGGTGCGGACGAAGCTATCCAGGGTGAAGCCACCGCCGCCTACGTCTCTGCATATATCTGCTCCCCAATGCAGCCCAAGGGGCAAGCCTTGACGAAATGCGGAGGCCAAGCCAAACTCAAAGCTGTTGGAGGCACCTCGCGCGCAAACGAGCATGTAATCAGTCTGATGGGCGTGTCGATCAAATCGGCGTTGCAATGTGTTTTCGCGGATGCACCCCGTGGTTGAAGGTGAAGCTCACTGAAGAGCGACAAGGCCTCACACGATCTCACACGACGCAATGGCAAGCAGCTTGGCACGTCCGTTCGACCTGCTGACTCGTGATCTCCCCGGAGCCCAGATCCTCGTTCAACGGCAACATCGGACGCACCAGAGCACCAGAGCACCAGTGCACCGCCCAACACGTCCTGCTTCCTGAAGGCCTCGTGATATCTCAGCAGTGCGTCCTACAGAAACAGCATAGAGACACCCTGAACAGCCGAACGATCCGACATCGGGCAATCCTCGTGCTCCATGCGCAACAACTTCTTCATGTCTTGGAAGTTCAGCATACCTCATTTGCTCGTTTCTATTCGTTTCTCGTCTCCAGCTTGCCAGTTGCCACTTGTGGCCCCAGCCGGAGCCATCCACATCCACTTTCTGCGTCAAGCTCTCCAAGTCCTTCGCTCACTCGCCATGCCACAAGCACAGGCAACGCATGGCAACCCTCAGCGGCGCACCGCCACGAGCGCTTTCTTTTCGGTCCTCGTGATCCACCTCGAAGCCGAACCAATTCAGCACCTATGCACACAATGAAATATGCAAGAAAGGATGAATCCGCTAAACCGAGCATGCATCGAATGCTTATCCGAAAGAGAAACTGAAGCCAAGGAATTGAATCTATTCGAATAGACATGCGCCTTGTGTGCGTCGCGGCAGCGCACCAATTCGCTGCTCTCATTCTGGTACATCCTGGTCCCGGGAACATCCAGCGAACTCGGACATCGGATCGCCTGAAGGCCAGCTCCAGATCCCGGATCTCCATTTGTGACAAGCCTTCCCGCAGGCGATACCTCCAGATTCCCTCTCCCTCTCTCCCTCCTCTCTCCCTCATCTCTCCCTCATCTCTCCCTTGTCAGGGATCTCAAGACAGCCGAACGGCCTGTGAAAGAAGTCCGGGGCATCCTCCTTGGTCAGATCGATCTTGTCCCTCTGCCTGCGTGAAAAGCGGCTGAAAATGCGGCTTGACGGTGTCGGCGCCTGAGCTCGTGCAGCTCTGCAAAGACCTGACGTCGTGAACGATCCGATCCTCCGATTACGGCAAACAGCCTCTTGGACCACTTGCGGGTCACTCTCGTAATTCAAAGCCTGCGAAGAGAGGTGGAATCGTATTGGAAAGAGTGGGATGCGTCAGGCTGTCAGGTTGTCAGGTGACCTTGAGGGCGAGTTCCAACTCCGGAGCACTCAAGGTTCCGGTTCGATCTTGGTCCGACTCCTGGCATTTCATTTCGAATGGGTGGACTTGATCCTATTCACAAATACATGTATATATATATATATAAGTTATTATATAAGCCATATATAATGCAAGCTTGGATGTGTGTGATCCTCGAAGATCCGGAAGAAGTGCGCGAGATGGAGATCCCGGACCTGAAAGGAGCTTGAAAGGAGCTTGAAAGGAGCTTGAAAGGAAAGAGAAAGACAGAGAGAAGAAGACAAGAACAAGATAACACAAGTAAATGCAAAGCGCAAAAGTGGCAAAAGTGGCAAAAGTGGCAAAAGTGGCAAAAGTGGCAAAAGTGGCAAAAGTGGCAAGAAGTGGCAAGAAGTGGCAAAAGTGGCAAGAAGTGGAAGAATGCAAAGAAATGGAAAGAAGTGGAAGAAAAGAATGTAAGAACAGGCTGAATCCGAAGACCCGACCGGGGCTCGCCGGACTCGCCGTCTCTCGACTCTCCGACGAGCCGCCGCCCTCATGGCTTGGAGGAACTCGTTGAAGTCCAAGCCGCGGCCTCGAGAAGCACGAAGCCGCAGCCAGGGCAGCGAAGAGCAGAAGCGAAGAGCAGAAGGGAGAAGAGCAGGAAAAAGAAAAAGCCGGGGCAAAAAGCCAGGGCAAGGCAAGGAAGAGCAAGACGAGAAGAACGAGAAGAACGAGAACGACAGAGAGCCCTCCCCGGCCATCAATGTCGGCACGGTGGAAGACCTGCTCCAAGTCCTCACCACAGTTCAGTTCCCAAGAGAAATCATTCATTGTGAGTCCTGGAAGCTGAGCTGGTAGCCCAGCCAGCTGAGAACTCTGGCAAAGGCCTGAGGCAACGGCGCAAGTGCGCAAGTGCGCAAGTGCGCAAGTGCGCAAGTGCGCAAGTGCGCAAGTGCGAAAGTGCGACGCGACCTCCAAAGCCGACTCCAGTCCACACGCTTCCTACACGCCTCAATCTCTATGGCTCCTTCTGTCGCGCAGCGCTTGAAGACAATCCGGAACCTTGGAGTCCCACCCCCCAAAATGCGCGTCGCTCGGTGACACCTGGCTCCCAGGCTCTTCCTTCTCTGCTTGAGGGAAACCATCTGAATCTTCCAGAAGCTTCATGAGCCTGGCATGTAAGAACTATTAAGAACTCCTGATCTCCGTGGCTCAAGCCCTGCAGGCCAACATGCCACAGCTGCGATTCGAACTCTTCGAAGGACAGCTCCTAAGCTCCGAAGTCTTTGACTCGAGGTCAGCTCACTGCACTCAAAGCCTAAGCCCGGCTCACCAGAGCCATCAATGTCCACCTGTCCCAAGGAGAAAAACACCAAAGACCCCAGGCACCCATAGCCCAGAAAATGGTTCTGCACCCTGTACTTGCCTTCTGCATGACCTCGACTACGAGGCTGGTCTGCACCACCAGGCCCAAGCTCCGTAGGACCTCTCACAGAAGCTCATAGATGTTTGTTTTTGAATGCAAATATGTCAAACCAACACGCACACAAACATTGTGATACGTGAAAAAACGCAGGCCTCCACAACGTCCCCTGCTGCAAAGATACAACACACTGTGAGGCACTCGAAATCGTTGTTTCTTCCAATTCCCAACCCAAACGCCTGAAACCACGGTCTCGTCGTTTCTTCCAATTCCCAACCCAAACGCCCGAAACCACGGCCGTCACGTCACGTGTCTGTCCTCATGCAGCTCCTCAGTGCTGATCTGATCGCCTGCAAGTTTGCGCATGCGTCATGCCATTAGCATCTGCAGCATCCGGGGCAGATGGCATCTATGCGCCAAGTGCGGCGCTTTCGTCCACGTCGAACTTGCGGAAGGCCTCCTTGTACGCCTCACACCCGAATCTGTCGAATATATGTTGCATCTGTCGAGTATGTCGGAGTGAGGCCTTGCCTGCCGCTGCCGGCTGCTGTACTCCACAATGAACTTCTCGAAGTCCTGGGACTACCGCCATGACTTTGGGCAGATCCTCTGAGCCGACCGGGCCTCTTCGCCAATGAAGGACACCATGGTGAGGCCCTGCGAGCTGCAAACTGCAAACTGCACACTGCGCAAGTTGGCTACTGCGGGGTCCTCGTAGATCTCCTCCAGCCAAGCCTTCTTTACCTCCTGCGTGGCGTGTGTGCCGGGGGCTGGGGCTGTGGGGGCGTGGGGGCTGTGGGGGCTGTGGGGGCTGTGGGGGCTGTGGGGGCTGTGGGGGCTGTGGATTTGGAGGATTGGGACGAGTCCTTGAAGCCACACTGCCGCAAAGCCTTGTGAAGGTCCTCACGCAGAGTCTCTTCGCGGCTCAGCTTCTCGCGGCTTCTCTCAACTTCTCTCAGCTTTTCTCCTTCTTGTTCAATCGCCCGGCACGGGCCACCTGATCGGAACATGTCACAATGTGGAACGGGCCACATGGCTCACGCCCTCGTTACGTTCAGCCTGCCGAAAAGCACTGCGGATGAGCTTGTCCAAGTCATTCCTCAGGCAAGGGCGATGCCAGGTGAAAAGTGAAAGCCAATCGCTGAGGTGTGGGCTCGGTGTCCACATGCTTGAGCAAAGATTCCAATGTCTCCTCACTTCTGCGAACGATGGTGGCCTTGCCTCAAGCGAACAGGCACTGGTGAATTGAATGAGCACCTAACAGGCTTGGACGCTGCGGGAAGAAGGAGGACCTGCGCCCCTGGCCTTCTCCTGGCAACGCCGTGAACTTAAACGAAGCAGTCAAATCCGCCGACCCCTTGTCTGTAAGGGCGAGGCGCATGGAAAGGGTGTCATCATCATCGGTGTTTTCATCATCCTTGTCACCATCGCAATCAATATCATCATATCATCACAGTCATCGTCCTTGTCACAACCGTCATCAATATCATCATCATCATCATCATCATCATCATCATCATCATCATCATCATCATGGTGGCCATAAGCCTTGCTAGGGCCACCATAAGCGTAGTTGAGGCCACCGGCTTGCCTTTTTTGGGGTCTTACATACATTTCAAAAGGGACGTTAGACAGTATTGGTGATGCAGAGGATGCTACGATGATAGTTATCATCACAGTCTTCATCCTTATCACCATTGTCATCACAGTCATCATCATCATCATCCTTATCATCATCATGATGGTCACCATCATGTCTTTCTTACTCTTACACACATTTCAAAAGGACGTTAGAGACCAATGGTGATGCAAAGGACAGTCCTCATCTTTGTCATCATTATCATCATGGTCATCATCATCTCTTTTTGGGTAGCAATGGATGCAGAGGATGCTACGATGATAGTTATCATCACAGTCATCATCCTTATCATCATTATCATCATGGTCATCATCATCTCCTATTAGGCAGCATTGGTGACGCAGAGGATGCTACGATGATAGTTATCATCACAGTCATCATCATCATCAGCATCATCATCACTCTTCTCATCATCATCATCATGAAGGCCACCATCATCTCTTTCTTAATCTTATATACATTTCAAAAGGGACGCTAGAGACCATTGGTGATGCAGGCTACGATGATAGCTACCATCACAGTCCTCATCCTTGTCATCATTGTCATCACGGTCATTCATCATCTCTCATTAGGCAGCATTGGTGATGCAGAGGATGCTACGATGATAGTTATCATCACAGTCGTCATCCTTATCATCATTGTCATCACGGTCATCATCATCTCTTATTACGATGATAGTTATCATCACAGTCATCATCACCATCATCATCATCATCATCCTTACCATCATGATGATGGTCGTCATCATCATCACTCTTCTCATCATCATCAGGATTGTCATCACCATCTCTTTGTTATTTTCGGGTTGGAGGGTAGGGGGTTAGGGTCATCTTCCCATAGTCTTCCGCCATCTTCCCGTCATCTTCCCGTAGTCTTCCGTCTTCTGTCATCTTCCGTAGTCTTCCGTCATCTTTGCGTGGTCTTCCGTCATTGTCCCGTCCTCTTCCCGTAGTCTTCCGTATCTTCCGTCAGCTTCCCGTCATCTTCCCGCAGTCTTCCGTCATCTTCGTGTAGTCTTCCGTCATCTTCCCGCAGTCTTTCATCCTCATCATCATCCATCCTCACAGTTAGAGGTTAAGGTTAAAGGTTAGGGTTAGAAGTTGGGGTTAGGAGGTTAGAGGTTCGGGTTCGAGGTTAGGGTTAGAGGTTAGGGTTAGAGGTTAGAGGCTAGGGTTAGAGGTTAGGGTTAGAGGCTAGGGTTAGAGATTAGGGTTAGAGGTGAGGGTTAGAGGTTAGGGTTGGAGGTTTGGGTTAAAGGTTACGCTTAAAGGCTTGCGGTTAGGGTCATCTTCTCGTAGTCTTCCGTCATCTTCCCGTCATCTTCCCGCATCTTCCAGTAGTCTTCCGTCATCTTCCCATTTCCCGTCATCTTCCCGTGGTCTTCCGTCATCTTCCCGTAGTCTTCCGTCAGCTTCCCATCATCTTCCGTCATCTTCCCGTAGTCTTCCGTCATCTTCCCATAGTCTTCCGTCATCTCCCCGCAGTCTTCCGTCATCTTCCGGTCAGCTTCCCGTAGTCTTCCGTCATCTTCCGTAGTCTTCCGTCATCTTCCCGTAGTCTTCCGTCATCTTCTCGTAGTCTTCCGTCATGTTCCCGTAGTCTTCCGTCAGCTTCCCGTCATCTTCTCGCGTTGTTCCGTCATCAGTCTTCCGTCATCTTCCCGTAGTCTTCCGTCATCTTCTCGTGGTCTTCCGTCATTTTCCCGTCATCTTCACCGTAGTCTTCCGTCTTCTTCCCGTAGTCCTCCGTCATCTTCCCACACTCTTCCGTCATCTTCCCGTCAGCTTCCCGTAGTCTTCCGTCATCTTCCCGTAATCTTCCGTCAGCTTCCCATAGTCTTCCGTCATCTTCCCGTAGTCTTTCATCCTCATCATCATCCATCCTCAGAGTTAGAGGTTAAGGTTAGAGGTTAAGGTTAAAGGTTAGGGTTAGAAGTTGGGGTTAGGAGGTTAGAAGTTAGGGTTAGAGGTTAGGGGGTTAGAGGTTAGGAGTAGGGTTAAAGGTTAGGGTTAGGGCTTAGTCATCTTCCCGTAGTCTTCCGTCATCTTCCCGTAGTCTTCCGTCATCTTCCCAAAGTCTTCCGTCATCCTCCCATAATCTTCTGTCATCTTCCCGTAGTCTTCCGTCATCTTCTCGTGGTCTTCCGTCATTTTCCCGTCATATTCCCGTAGTGTTCCGTCATCTTCCCGTAGTCTTCTGTCAGCTTCCCGGCATCTTCCCGTAGTTGTCATCTTCCCGTTGTCTTCTGTCAGCCTCCCGTCATCTTCCCGTAGTTGTCATCTTCCCGTAGTCTTCCGTCATCCTCCCGCACTCTTCGGTCATCTTCCGTCAGCTTCCCGTAGTCTTCCGCCGTCTTCCCGTCATCTTCCCGTAGTCTTCCATCATCTTCCCGTGAACTTCCGTCATCTTCCAGTAGTCTCATAGTCTTCCGTCATTTTCCCGTGTCAGATTCCCGTCATCTTCCCGTAGTCTTCCGTCATCTTCGTGTAGTCTTCCGTCATCTTCCCGTAGTCTTCTGTCATCTTCCCGCAGTCTTCCGTGATCTTCCGGTCAGCTTCCCTTAGCGATCCGTCATCTTCCCGTAGTCTTCCGTCATCTTCCCGTAGTCTTCCGTCATCTTCCGTAGTCTTCCGTCATCTTCCCGTAGTCTTCCGTCATCTTCGTGTAGTCTTCCGTCATCTTCCCGTAGTCTTCCGTCATCTTCCCGCACTCTTCCGTCATCTTCCCGTCAGCTTCCCGTAGTCTTCCGTCATCTTCCCGTAGTCTTCCGTCAGCTTCCCGTAGTCTTCCGTCATCTTCGCCCGTAGTCTTTCATCATCATCATCCATCCTCACGGTTAGAGGTTAAGGTTAGAGGTTAGGGTTAGAGGTTAGGGTTAGAAGAGGTTAGGGTTAGAGGTTAGGTCAAAACCCCCCCTCGGACTCCCCCTAACCACCACTTAGAACACGCCTCGCCCCTTTGCAGAGACTAACTTGGCTTTTGCAAAGGGGTCGGCGGATTCTTTTATACATTTCAACAGGGACGTTGAAACCATTGGTGATGCAGAGGATGCTACGATGACAGTAACCATCACAGTCCTCACCTTTATCATAATTATCATCATGGTCATCATTATCTCTTATTAGGCAGCACTAGTGATGCAACGGGTGCTACCATGATAGTTCTCATCACAGTCATCATCATCACCATCCTTATCATCATCATGATGATGGTCGTCATCATCATCATCATCATCATCACTCTTCTCATCATCATCATCATGATGGTCATCATCATCTATCTTATTCTTATAGACATTTCAACAGGGACGTTAGATCGAGACCATTGGTGATGCAGAGGATGCTACGATGATAGTTATCATGACAGTCCTCATCCTTATCATCATTATCATCATCACCTCTTATTAGCCGGCGTTGGTGACGCAGAGGATGCTACGATGATAGTTATCATCACAGTCATCATCATCATCCTTCAAAAGATGCGTGGACATGATTATCATGATGACTGCTGGTGATGCTAAGGATGCGTCATGATGACAGTCACCATCGTAATCAGTACCATCATAACATCACAGTCATCGTCCTTGTCACCATCGTCATCAATATCAGCATCATAATCATCATCATCATCATCATCATCATCCATGCGTTGTTAGGGCCACCATAAGCGTAGTCGAGGCCACCCGGGGGGGTCTTATACACATTTCCAAAGGAACGTTGCAGAGGATGCTACGATGATAGCTATCCTCACAGTCATCATCATCATCATCATCATCATCATCATCCTTATCCTCATGGTCATCAACATCTCTTATTCGGCAGCATTGGCAATGCAGAGGGTGCTGCGATGCCAGACGCACGCGCGGCCAGAACGCGCGGCCTGGCTTTAGCCTCGTAAAAAGGATGTTAGACGAACGCGCGTCCAGAACGCGCGGCCTGGCTTTAGTCTCGTAAAAAGGATGTTAGACGAACGCGCGTCCAGAACGCGCGGCCAGGCTTTAGTCCTCAACATGGATTTGTTTGGCGCCAGCGCCTTCGTCGCGCATCGCTGCCACGAGACGCCACACCTCCGCAAGGATTTTCTTCTTTCGCTTCGCGCGCGTTCTTCCAAGTCGCATCTTGCTCCTGCACGCAATGTTCTGTAGGTCTTGCTCCGCGGCGCACGCGTCGCACGTTTGCTTGCCGTTCCTCTGGGCCCCACCCATGGCGCACGCGAGAGCAAAGCACCATGGCCAACAGTAGCTCTGAACAGGGCAAACTGTTCAAGCGGGCACAAGCACTGCCAATGAGTCTTATATCAAAGCGCGGCCAGCGTGATGCGCACCCCCCCGCAATGCTTTAAAAAACAAGGCCCACACGCACACAGTCAGTTGCGGGGATATGCCATTTGGGGTCTCACACACACACGGACTTGTATATCAAAGCACGGGGAGCGCAGGGCTATAGCATTGGGGATCGGCGGCACTGGGCGGCAGCCCTTAAATCGCCGACCATGAGCTGACCATGAGCATACGTTTTGCGCTGGGCCCGCCCGTACAAGAGACGAAGGATTTGCGGATTGGTTTATGCGATTTTTGGTCCTTTTTGTAACATTTCCTTGCGGCGTCCAAAAACGGGGGGGTGCCTAATACTGGACAACACCCCCAGCATGGCCAGCATCATCCCGGATGATGCGGATGATGCTACGCTTGCTGGCGAAATGCAAGGAAACTGGTGTGACTGCAAGTGAGTGAAATGGAAGTGAAAGGAATTGTACGAAAATGACGAGGGCACTGGAGAGAAACCAAAATGCAGGAAAATGCAAGCGCAGAACGCGAAGGGAACCGGAAGGTGGGAACATAAAGAAGTTGTTGGAAATTCTGGGAAACGAAGAGAAACTGAAGAGAAATGAAGGCATGTGCAGGAAACTGACGTGAAATGGGAAGCGAGGTTGAAGTCACGGGAACTAAAAAGAACTAAGGGAAAGGAATGCGAATGAAGGGGCGTTCAAGGAAATGAAGGGAGCTGACACGGAAATGAAGCGAAAGGAAGTGAAGGGAAATGCCAGGAAACTGTCGGACATGCAGGGAAGACACGCAAAGGAAGTGAAGCTCAAATCCCGGCAACTAGCGAGAATTAAAGGCAAAGGAAATGATAGAACGAAAAGGGCAGGGTGATCGGTGGCCGGCTGTGTCGCGTCAGCGTGTAATAGCGGCCCGCAGGCCAAGCCCGGAGGGCTTACGTTCAGGTACAGGCAAACGAAAAAGCCATGCCTCCATGTAAACGCCGATTCCAAGAAGTCACTCCTAAGTCACGGGAACAATCCCCATGGAACGCTGGACATCACCGAGCTGGCCATGCTAAAAAAACACAGGTGTCAACACTGAAACACAATGGAGTGCTAATGATGGCAAAGCATGTTTTCCAGCCCCGCGAGGCGTCTGCAGGACCATGAAAACCAATGGAACGCTAAGCATACGCTAGGTTGTTGCAGGAGTGTTTAGGAAGACATGATGCAATGGGTGGCCTTTGCCAGCTCTTGCACCATCTTTTTCGCGCGCTGGAGCTCTTTTCTCTGGAAGGCAGGCAGGCATATGCGCAATGCACCCTGGCAACAAAAAACGAGATCAAAACGATATCAAGCGGGATCAAAGCGAGATCAAAACGAGATCACCGATCGTCCGCTGAAGACTTAGGCCCGCAGCCGCATGTGCCGAACCCGCGCCCACAAGTTCACTCACTTCTGCGCACCTGCTGCCATCAACTCACTTCCGCACCCACTTTTCGACTCAACTTCGCACCTGCGAACGCCAGCCGCTCAAGCGCGCCTGCTCAGCCCTGCGCACACACGTTCAAGCGGAGACTTTGTCAAACCCCTGTACAAGGCCGTGTGCCACCGACCATGAGCATACGTTTTGCTCTGGGCCCGCCCTTATAAGGGACGAAGGAGTTGCGGATTGAGGATGTTTGTAACATTGTTTTTGGGATGCCTAATGCTGGACAACACCCCCAGCATTACCAGCATCATCCTGGATAATACGGATGATGCTATGCTTGCTGGCGATGCGGAACAAGGGGCTGAAAATTGCAGAAAGCGAATAGGAAATGCAAGGAAACTGGAGTGACTGGAAGTGAATGAAATGGACGTGAAAGGAATTGGAAGAGGGCGCTGGACAGAAACCAAAATGCAGGAAAATGCAAGCGCAGAACGTGAAGGGAACCGGAAGGTGGGAACAAAGAGAAATTGTTGGAAATTCTGGGAAACGAAGAGAAACTGAAGAGAAATGAAGGCATGTGCAGGAAACTGACGTGAAATGGGAAGCGAGGTTGAAGTCATGGGAACTAAAAAGAACTAAAGGAAAGGAATGCGAATGAAGGGGCGTTCAAGGAAATGAAGGGAGCTGACACGGAAATGAAGCGAAAGGAAGTGAAGGGAAATGCCAGGAAACTGTCGGACATGCAGGGAAGACACGCAAAGGAAGTGAAGCTCAAATCCCGGCAACTAGCGAGAATTAAAGGCAAAGGAAATGATAGAACGAAAAGGGCAGGGTGCCCGGTGGCCGGCTGTGTCGCGTCAGCGTGTAAATAGAAAACAAAGCAGTCAAGTGTAAATACAGCCGTTAACTTAAACGAAGCAGTCGACTGAATACAAAGCAGTCAAGGCTTTTTCAACGTGTATCTAATTTGGAGACTCGCCTTCCGTCACCAGTGCAAAGCGGCGGTGCTCGGCCTGCCGCTCGAGCGAGCAGACGTCCCAAGCTCCCAAGATCTCCCAAGTCCCAGCCTCCTGATGCAGAACCTGCGTCTCAATGCAAATGCGACATATGCGACATCAGCGACTGCGACCGCATGCGACCGCATGCGACCGCGCCTGGGAGATCAGCTTCAAAATCTTCTTGGGTGGGTTGGGCCCCTCGCAAACTGCATCCATTGGCTTGTGGTTGGCTTTGGAGGTTAGAGCTGTAGGGTGGATGGATTCAAGGACGGTTTTGGGCGGAAGCTTGGTTTAGAGTTGGTTTCGGCAAGGATTAGGGACCGGTTTAGGGGTGGCTTAGGGGTTGGGTTGAGGGCTGGGGGGGTTCTAGGATTGATTCGGGGGAGCGCCTTGGGTAGGTTCGGGGATTTAAGTTTGGCTTCGGTGAATTTGAGGTTGGTTTTGGGGTTGGTTTCGATGGGTTTAAGGGTGGTCTGCCTTGGGATAGTTTGGCAATGGGTTGGTTTGGGCCGGGTTTATGATTGGTTTAGAGTGGCTTAAGAGTAGTCGTCCGGCAGGTTTCGGGCTTTACGCAGGGTGTTGGTTTATGATTGGGTTGGGGTAGGTTCAGGGTTGGTGTAGGGGGTGATTGACGGTAAGTTAGGATGGGCTTGGGGTTGGATCAGTTTTGCTGTATTTTAGGGTTGGTTTAGGGTGGTTGTTTGGTTTAGAGTCCGTCTGGTCTGTGGTATGGTGTAGGGTGAGTATAGGGCTGGCTTAGGGCTGGTTGGTTGGGTTTAGGGCGGGCTTAGGGTTGAGGGTTGGGTTGGGTTTAGGCCGGGTCGATTGTCTCAGGCCGGGGTTCGAATGGGTTCTTGGTGAATGAAAACGTCCACCAAAACAAACGGGGTCACGCTTGAAACCAAGGTCGGCAGTGAGAAACACAAGGTGGAGGCACAAACACAAGGGGTTGAAAGGAAAGTTGTAGGGGGTTCCCAAACAATATGTCTACATATGTCTGTTGTAAATAGACGGAAAGGAGATTAGCAAGGGGAGCGCGTTGCACTTCCCGTCCTGCACACGGAAGGCAGCCTTCAGGACTCGCATCAAATCCGAGCTCTCTTTCGGGCGGCCTCAAATCTGACTGACGCACTCAAACACAAATCAGCTGTATCGTTCCTGTGCGCAATGGCAACACAGCATGCAACAACACAAGCGGCTCACCTCTGAAGTCTTTGGACATGAATCTTTTCCATGTTCACAGGGTCCATTCTCCACTTTTCCCGGCGCCGTGCCGGATTTGCTCTCCAAGGTGCGGCATTTGCCTTTGGCAGCTGCCAGCGAGGCATCCAGGGCCTGGATGCTGTCGCACTGCCGCAGCGCCCGCCGGATCTCCTATCGGCTTCCGTCGGCTTCCGTCGGCTTCCGTCAGATTGAAAAGGGAATCCGTTGGATTGCCAAGTTGACAGCGGGCCTTCCGCAAAAACCTACGCCCTAAGGCCGCGCTTTCCGCCTCGAGATCCTGGCGCTTCACTGTGCACTTGTTTGACTCTTGCGTCTTGGCCTCAAAGCCGACCTTTGGGCTTTGCACCTGACACAAAGCACGAAGACACCCAACGAATCGATTCGGAGCTCGCCTTCGACCTCCCCTTCTGCCCGCTTTGTTCCGTCTCCTCCGGCCTTAGGGAGATCGACAGCGCTAGCTCTGCTAGTGCAACAACAACGAGGCTGCCGCTGCCGGAATAGTGGTGGAGGAAGCTGAGGCAAGCGTGAATCGACGAAACATGGACGGCTGGTGTGGGGTCATGTCCTGAGGTCCTGCCTGGGGTGGCTGACCCACCTCCTTTCGACAGTGATCGCTGAAGGTCTTTTCCCACGGCCTGGCACGTGACTGCGAGTGTGGAATGCTAAACATGTCAAACACATTCATCATGAAGGATTCTGCTTGCTCAGTCCGGGCCCCTGCCTCTGCCACAGGGGGCTCAGATGCGGAGCCCGGCGTGGCGTGGGCCACTTGCGTGTGAACGCCATCCTCAACGCGAACTGAAGCGAGCCGCATGCAGCATGCAGAATGAGGTCGACGCCCCAAGGGGATCGCAAGCTGCGCCGCCCCATGGTTTGAGGCTTTGCGGCTCCGTGCAGGCCGTGCGTGGCTTCTCCGGGCTTCGCGGACTGCCAACCACTTTTCTCGGCGAAACATCTCGCGGTCGGATGCTCAGCACTTCGCCTTGGCACCCTCCCAGCTCACCGAGTTCGCCTGACTAGCTCGACTTTGCCTAGTTGTCGAAGGTGATCCGGACTTGAGAGCTGTTGGCACCTGGCGCGATGCCGCGCCTTTCCCAAAATGCTTCCAGTGACATCCAGTCAGGTTGAGCCCGCCTGGCACAATCCGCAGGGAGTAGTCCACTGGGCCGCGCAGGGGGAAGCGCCAACCCATCAAAGGTGGGATCATGGAAGCTTGGTTCACGTTGAAGGCAAAGACCTCAGGGACAGTGACAGCCGTTGCAAGCGGGCAATGCCTCTCATGCTCCCACCATGTCGCCGCCAACTTCGGCGCCAATCCACCATCCATCACCTCCGGTCTTGATTCAAGGCTCAAGGGTAGCCGTGACGCACAGAGAAGCAGTGTCACATTGCGACACTCTTTGAGAGATATGCTGCATGTCCCAAATATTGTATCCAGGTCGCAGTCAGCACCATCCTAATCTTGCCCGGCATGGGGCAACGGGCAACACTCGGCAACACTCGGCACGGGGCAAAGGGCAAGGGGCAAGGGGCGGCACCGGGCTGAGGCTGTGACTTTTTCATCCCAGTAGTAAATGGCGACACTCTCGCCTGGGAATGGCAACATGGCTGAGATCCATTGGACTCATTCAGCGCGCCAGTTTCCAAGGACTTCTTGAAAATGGGCCGTCCGTGATTGGACCCTTGCTCCTGCGCGAGTCTCGCCACTTGATCTGCAAAGCAGGCACAGCGCATGCAGCAACTCTCAATCGCAAACTGCGCCTGCTGGAACTCTCAACGGCAATTGCCGCTGTTAGACTAGATAAGAACATTGATTCCCGTGGACGGTGTGGTTTCGTCGGGAACGAGACTTCGTGACAAAGCACATGTCGGTGCGCTTTTCCAAGACTTCCTGTGAGCACGCCTGGTAGGTCCCCTGGATGATGCGCTTCACCAGGAGTTGCTGGGACTTCTGCACCTGACGAGCGCGCAACGGGCCTTCGGGCCTTCGGGTGGACGGGGTCAGAGGTGGGCACCTGAGCAGCTTTCTCTGCTTGTCTTCGCCGGTACATCTCCTACACGCCACTTCACGCTTCTCACGCTTCTCACGCTCACTTGCCTCACTTGCCTCACTTGCCTCACCTGCCTCACTTCACGTCATGTGCTTTCACGTGTGCCTCCCACTCGTCCAAATCTGGTCCCGCATCCACTGCGTCCTGTGCCATCTCTCCATTTCGACTGCGTATTACTGTTTACATATGTCTCCCTCATCCTGTCTCAGGGTCAGTCTCCTTTTGTCAGCCGGTGAAACGCCGCCTCGCTGGCTGTGAGACACGCTACATTTTTTGCAGGCTCCTTCAGGCTCCTTCGGGCTCCTCCTCCGCAGGCTCTAGGACCTTCTGAATCTCGGCCACCACCTGAGGCTCGTGTCAAATGCCCAGACTGTTCCGATGCTCTTTCCGACGGTTTCCGACGGTTTCCGACGGTTTCTGAGTTCTGAGTCCTGAGACTGACCTCACACTTCGAAACGCTCGCATCAACTCGCATCCGGACCTCGGGGTGGCCGTAGAGCTTGCCGAAGAGGAGGCAGTGCTTCATCTCTCGGTCATCGAACTTGCCATTGGTGAGAAGCCGGAGGCAGTCCACGTGGCCCCAGCGCGCGGCTTTCTTGATGGCGCTCATCTCGTTTTTGTCTTTGGCGTCCACGGAGCTCAAGCCACCGCTCTGCAGCAGCAGAGACACCACGTCTGTGTGGCCCATGGCCGCCGCCATCATCAGAGGTGTCTCCCCGTCCTCGTTCACCGCGTTCACCTCCGCCTTCTTCTCCAGCAGCGACCGGCACACTGCTGCGTGGCCCTTCATGGCAGCCAGCATCAGAGCCTAGAAGATCGAAACAAACACCTTCGCTCCCAAAAACACTCATGCTCATAGACTCATACATGCGCATACCGCTTCTGCTATTGACATGCTCTCATGGCACCTTCACTGCTACACGGGAACTCGACGAACAAAGCTGGCTTACAACAATGACTGGGTTGTGTCTTGAGACCCCGCGTTTCTCTTGGAGAGTGGGAAAATCGTCACTTGCCAAAAGCTTAAAGGTCACTCCAAGGGGCAACCGAGATGAGAGCAAATGGCAACACATCGACCGTTGTTGAAGCTTGATAAAAGTTGCGATACCCATCTCCACCGTATTCCAGACCTTCTTTAAACTTTGCTGACAAGCTAGGCACATGCCTTCTCACCATTTCCCATCCCCAATAATGGACCCAGCAAAGGACAAAGAAAGGGGAAACCAAAGTGAGCACTACTGGAATTCGTCGAACTCCTCGAATTAGTTCCCCGCGTTGCGCCTGGAAGCCGGAGCGGGGGTCCTTGTCGCTGACGCCCTTGCCACCTTTGGTGAACTTCTGCACCAACTCCTCGTGGCCGCTATAGGCCGCCAGCATCAGCACAGTCCAGTTGGACCCATCCGGCATCCGGTAGTTCGGGTTGCATCCGCTCTCCAGCATCTCCTTACTCGAACATATGCAATCATTTTCATGTCGTCCAGTCTAACATGTAGTTTATGCCCTCAGTGGCTTGCTCTGTGTTTGGCCCGCTTCGTCTTTTGTCACGGCAAGTTTCAGTCAGCGCTCTAATTGAAGGACACGTGACACGTGACACGTATATTCCCAATTGTCAGCCCGGTGGCATTCACCTCTTCCAGGTCTCCCTTATCCACGGCGCCTCTAAAGGCCACTGCCTGCCACATCTTTGCCTCCTCCTGACGCGTGAAAACGGCGCACGCAGTCTGCCTTCAAATATGCTTGAACCCGCCTCATCGACAGGCGCCATGGCGAATTTCCACGGGTCCCGTCGCTGAGCCCAAATGTACAGCTTGGGGCGACGTGTCATGGCTGTGTTTTCAGATGCAAATGAACTCTCGCTTGCAATACCTCTTGCGCGCCTCAAAGAGCTCCTCGAAGTCATCGCCAAAGCTCTGCGGCGTCTGAACGCCACTCGAGACACTCGACGAGGCGCACATGCCGCGCATGCCGCGCATGCCGCGCATGCCGTGCCTCGAAGCGCCCTCGCGGTGCTCGCCGCCAGCGCCGCCAGCCGTCAGCTGACAGCTCCCGGTAGGCCTCGGGCGTCGGGCATTGAGCAAATTGGCAAACGGCGGCTCCCGTTTCACGAGGCTGAAGCCCATAACACCTTGCGGAAAGCCGCAGAATCGCCGGTGCCTGACTCCGGTGACTCCGGTGACTCCGGTGACTCCGGTGACTCCGGTGACTCCAGTGACTCCAGTGACTCCAGTCTCTTCCTTGCCCCTTGTGCAGGCCTGCCACATCTGGGTGCAGGGTGGCCGCCAGCTTGCGAAACGCAGGCCGGACTGCCGCCTGCAAGTCATGGCGTCCTTCGTTCCAACCAGCCTACGGCCTGCTCCGAAGTCTGTGGGATGCCCAGGATGTCGAATGGATTCTCAGACTTGGACTTCAGCCCAAGAAGCCTGCCATCTTGGGCCCTTCTCATGACGCCACAAACTAGTTGCAAGCAAGCCGCTCTTCGGCGTCTTCATCCCAACCCGGAGGAACAGCGAAAAGGCGGTATCTCTGACCTGCAGCATTGATGCCAATCGCAAAGTTGCAGCATTCAGTTCCGGATCGTATATCACGGCTATGCATTGCGTGCACATTATTTTTCCACATCCGACCGGTTCGTCTGCAACTATGACGCAGTGTCAAACATGGCAAGTGGCAGGATGCACAGTCTCCTGTGCTTCCCACTCCACTACGCCACCTGCATAGGCCCATTGTTGCAGTTGGGTAGAGGCCCGAGAGCCATGTTGGACACGTGAAGGGCGAGATGAATTCATTGAGCCAGCGAATGCCCATGCTCCCCAATGAAGCATTCAGACTACAAACTCGACTTCTGATGCCGATCCCACGGCGAATTCTGGACCATGACCCTCAAGCGAGGGCGATGGAGATGGGCCCGTACGGCACCTTCTGATTCACCTGCCAGAGATGCGCAAGATCTCAAGATCAATTAATACTCTCAGACTCTCAGACTTTCACATGCATGAGTAGTCATACTACCGCATTGCATCCGGGAATCTCGAGAAAGCGAAGCAGTCGCACTTGAGCGCGCCTGGATGCCGCCGCCGGTAGCGAGGGCCAGCAGGGCCGCGAAGGTGCGTGCGGCCGTTGCCCGCTGGGTGTAGCCCGGGGAGATGAGGTCGTCCAGGTTGGCCGGGCCTTTCTCCACGAAGCGCCGGATCACCAAACCCACCTGCGCCGTCTGCGCGTCGAAGGGCGAGACCTCCGCCTCCGCCGCCTCCGCCGCCTCCGCCGCCTCGGTGGCGGCTGCCTCCGCGGCCTCCGCGGCCTCGGCGGCGCGCTCCGCGGCCGCCACGAAGGCGGCGGCCTCCGGGGCCTCCGCGAAGATGGCGCCGATCGCCTCGGGACCCGCATCCAGCAATGGCTGCACCTCCGGCACCTCGTCCGGGGAGAAGCCTCCCATGTCCACGTCGAGTGCGACGCCTGCGACACCTAAGACACCTGCGACTGCAGCGCCGGGTCCAGCCGCTGGGCGCTCCAACACCCACAAAGGCCCCAGATGGTCCGCCAGAGTCTCGGCACGCATGCGGAGGTCTTGCGCGTACGTGGCCAGCATCCCGGCCACTAAGCTCACCTGCACTTGGAGATGCGCACACACACACACACACTCACACACACACACACACTCACACACACACACACACACACACACCCTGACTCACTCTAGGCAAGTCTCGTGCTTCGAGTGAGCAATCTGGCTTTGTCCATGCAAGGGGGCCTTCCGCGTGTGGAAGTTGACATGCGTCATAGAAGAGCAGCTAGAAAGATGCGCAAACACACCTCTTCCACAAGTTTCCCAGCACAACTCCTGAGTTTCGACATGAACACTCCACTCATACTGATCAGCCGTAAAACTCTTTCCACTTGCACTTGCACAAACATGAAATCCGATGGTAAATATCAGCAAACTCGCCGCAATATCCACGATAAGCACGATAGCACACCAATCCAAGCGAAGCAAACCTGCATTAAGCTCGTCTCATATTGAATGTCGTGCTTGAAGCCAACATAGTTCAGCACGACCCATATGCGCAAAAGAAGCCAAGCTTCGCTTAGGCTTCAAACTAATCTGGCATTTCTAGAAAATCACTCCATATCCCACGAACTTGGCAATTGTTGAGCTCAGAAGGAAAGTTCAGCAAACATACACAGTGACAGATCAAACTCCATTGGACATGGGCATAATCGGTTTACGCACAGGGGATGAGTGAACAATAACCTTGCTAAACATCAAACATCAATATATAGTGGGAGACCAACGAAGAACTGTACCTGGCATGCACAACATGTATACTGTATGAGGCATTCACATTGTGGATAGTTTGGTGCGGCGGACACCAGTGGGATGCAGGGCAAGACAACTCAGGGGATGACAAAAACCAATATGCAAATTCGGGAAGGGAGGCAGGTAGAAAGGAAACAACAAGCGATCGCGCCACTCCGCCACGCCCCCACCTCAATCAGAAGCAGCGACAGTCCATCAAACACTTGATACCATTTCAGGCTCAATTCATTTGAACAAAAGCGTGCAGTCGGGCAAGTCTAAACCTCGGAGCCGAACAAAACGAGAAAGCGCTAAGTGAACAGCCCACTCGCTTTCTTCGCCTCAAGCTCTTGCTCGGGGAGTTGGGTGTCGACATCGAAGCCGATGACATGGCCCGGCGGCAGACGCCGCCGCTTCTCCCTGCGATGCGCGACTTCGGCTCCGTCCGGGATCCCCGAAATCTCCGGGATCTCCGGGATCGCCGCAGGCACGGGCGCCGCGGGCTCAAGGGCTTCCGGCATGGGCTGCGGCGGCATGGGCGCCGCCCCGGCCCCGAAGGCCTCGGTCAAATCGAAGACCTCCAGACCCTCCTCCAAAGTCGGTGCCGTTGCCTCCGGCACTGCCGGAACTTCCCGCAACTCCTCCAACTCCTCCAGGTCCAGGCTCAGCAAGGCGTCGCCCAGGGGCGCCTGGGTCCAGTCGAAGGCCTCCGCTTCTTTGACCTTGGCCAAGTCCAGCTCCAAAGTCACCGCCTCCACTCGCTGCCGCTTGGCCGGCCGCAGGTCCTTCTCACGACTGGAGAAGGGCTGCGCAAAGAGCAGCACCAAACGCTCGCAGTCCCCGTGCAGCGCCTTGGCGCGGTCGTTGTTGATCACGCAGAAGCCCTTGAGCATCGTGCCGTAGACCCGCAGCGTCAGCGGCTTCTGCGTCTTGGGCCCGTACTCCGCCACCAGCCGCTGGATCCGCTGCTCGACGTTCAGGTCGATCTGACGCTTCCGGGCCCGCACCGCCGAGGTGGCCGCGATCCACGCGTCCTGCCACAGCTCCTGGTGGATGCCGAACTGGATCTCCATCGAAACCGTCAGACACTGCACTTTGAAGCCCCGCACACCACTGCAAACACCTTGAGAATGCTCAAACGTCTTCAAAATCCGAACGTGTTCCTTGTGGATCGAAGCGCTGACACTTTCTGATTGTGCTGATGCTGAGGGCTTGCAAACGCTGCGGCCAAATGACGTGCGAAAATGGCAACCAAGTGTCACCATGCTTTCGCTGGGTCCCCTTCGGTCCCCTTCAGTCCCTTTTTCATCAGTGACGAATTCCAAGCTGAGTGCCAAACTTAAGAGCAGCAGCGCCAGCACCGGCAGCGCCACGGTGCGCATTGCATGGCCCTTGACGGAACTACGCGAACATTAACCCGAGTGTTAGGTTGTTGTCGAGTGCTCAGGTGCTCGGGTCAAGTTGGGCCACGTCCAGTTGGCAAGATTTTCTGCGCAATGTCATGGCTGTGCCAACATGCGAGTTCAAGCTTCTGCAAGTAAGCTTGTAAGATGTATGTTGCTATACCTGCTCAGAGATTGAAACCTGGGCAAAACCAGTTGCGAAGAAGCACTCTTATGTTCGTGACCCCCACAGCACTGCTGGGCATCTGGACCGAAACGGAGTGCCCTGCTCTCTTCAGGCGGAGCAAACATGGCACAGAGACGCATCCACTTTCCATGAACATGAAAGCCATGCCTCTCCTTTGCATCGACCGACATCCCTCTGCTTATTTCCTGTTGCATTTTTTCACATGCGGATCTTGGGCTTCTGACCCAGGTACAAGTTCCGCTCGCTCAGCAGCAGCACGAAGAGGCCGGCCACGGAGAGGCCGGAGAAGGCGGCACGGTACCGGATCCACCAGCGGGGCGTCAAATGGTAGGCCCAGCTGAGGAAGTCGAAGCTGAAAAGCCCCACGAAGCCCGTGAGCAGCCACAGCGCTGCCTCCACCGGCAGAGCTGTGCTCAGCACAGAGCCCACCCACCCAAAGAACACGAAGACCGCAGGCCCGCTGAAGCGACTCAAGTAGTACAGGCCCATGTAGTCGCTCCGCAAAGGAACGCCCAGCTCCGCAGCCTGCATGCCCCAATGTAGGGCCCCCGCGCAGGACAGCAACGCCCCAGCATAGTGCAATGACCAATTCAAAGCCACCCGGGACTGGTCCGACATCTCCCGCACCTCCACTAACTCCGCTACATCCCTCCCTTCGCTGCCTGCAGTTCCTTCCATCTCGGTCCCCTCGCCAGGCGTCTCCGTCTCGGCCTCCGCGAGCAAATGCACCGCCAAAGACCCGGCGCCCAGCGGCAGTAGCAAGCTGGCACCCAGCACCTTCAGGTGCAAAGGCGCCGGCTCCTGCATCGCCCACTCCGGCAGGTACCACTTGGGGCTTGTCGTGTCGTTCGTCAACTCCTTCTCCTTTTCCTTTGCCAGGCTCGCAAGCCGCGCGCGGCCCTGGCCTTTCACCCGGGCTCGCAATGCCAGGCGGGCCAAAGCCATGGCTTGGAGACCCGAATCGATCGATTGGAGTCTATGTTCGTCTCAGGTGTTCAGTGAAACATGAGGCTAAATGAAGCGTGCCGAGGTGGCTGCCTTGGCGTGGCGTACTCATTGTCAACAAACATGGAGAAACCTCCAAAGCTGAGCAGCATGCGTCCATTTGATTCCTTCACATCTTGCTAAACACGTCAACGGCATGCTGTGCTCCGACCTCGGAAAACGCAAGAACTAGGCACCACAGCTATTGTCAAAATGGCAGCAGAAGAAAACCTTGGCCTGCTCAGCTCACAAGCTAGCATCAATAAGGAATCACATGACACAAAAGAGAATGTACGCTGCAGACCATGTTCTTCATTCAATTGCGTCTTTCTCAAACACCTTGATGCATCAGATTGAAGGCAACACTGAGTTGAAATCCTATGGCGGCATTTAACAAGGCGTTGATTGTGACCCACCTGTTTGGTCAAGTTAGACTTTGAAAGAATTATCGACTGGCCCACGTCAGCAGCCCTCGGAATTCCCAAGATGCAATTTCTGGCGAGGCACTTTTACGTTTGTGACATCACTGAAAGCACTGTTGGGTACTTGGACCAAAACGAAGTGCCCTTCTGACAATTGGAAGCAGTTAATCATTGTGACAGGGTAGGCGCATGGCACAGAAGACGCATCACCTTGCCGTGCACATGAAAGCGCCACCTCTCCTTTGCATCAACCAAAATCCATGTTTGCTTCTTTTCTGTCCTTTCCATGTTCATTTTCTCACATGCGGATCTTGGGCTTCTGACCCAGGTACAAGTTCCGCTCGCTGAGCAGCACAAAGAGGGCCACAGAGAGGCCAGAGAAGGCAGCACCGGATCCACCAGCAGGGCGTCAGGTGGTAGGCCCAGCTGAGGAAGTCCAAGCTGAAAGGCCCCACGAAGCCTCCACTGGCAGAGATGCAGCACAAAGCCCGCCCACCCAAAAAAAAGAAGATACAGACGATCACAGGCCCGCTGAAGCGACTCAAAGAGCACAGGCCCATGCCAGGACTTGTCCGACATCTCACTCACCTCCACTCCACTACTTCCGCGAGGAAATGCACCGGCGCCCAGCGCCAGTAGCAAGCTGACACCCAGGGGCAAGCGCAGGCCCCTCCTGCATTGCCCACTCCGGCAGGTACCACTTGGGGCAGGTCGTCTCTTTCCGGTTTTGCGCATCCGTCAACTCCTTCAGCTATAAAACTGAAGAGATCTTCAGGATTGAGACAGTTTGCTATCTGCTGATGCAAGCGCAACCTCCAACAGACCGTAATTGCTGGCAGGTGGCGGCTAGCTGGGTAGCCCACCCCGCTCGCCAAGAGTTCCATCTTGTGGGGAGGTCATTTTGGCACACCTACACACGTCGCAGAATGGATTCTTTGGCTGGTGTGTCATGAGGTGTCTCCTGGTTCAAGGCATTTTCTGCCAGTGATCTTGGGCAAACCCCCGCCAAGAGTGTATTCCTCTTCAGGGTCAACATCATCACTAGACACTTGCGGCGCAGGGACGCTGCCCTGGACGCTGCTCTCACCAACCTGGCCTTCCGGTCAGCTAGGCGGTTTGGTCTTGGCGGGACAGGCCGTGGAGGACTGACAGTTCCTCGAACGGACAAGTCGATCTTTGTTCCATCGGGCTTCCGAAAGTAAGGCATCTTGCTCTTGCTTGCACGCCAGACAAAGTTGTAACCCTCTTTCATGCACTTCAAACCCACTGAGAGCACCGATGGAGCCCTAGGCAGGAGATAAGGGTGTATCTCCCCAAGTTCACCCGCACACATCAGCGCGAAGACGCGCTGGGCCCGTTGGCAGTTACCAACTTCACAGGATCATCAGATTCGTGAATAGCATATTTGGGACATTCCGCTTTCGTGAAGAGATCTTGGGCACTACCCGTGTCAACAACCCAAGAACAATTTGGCGAGAACCTCTGGCTTGGAATGTCATCCGGCGCGGTCACATTGGTAATTGCAAACAGCGGAATGACCGGACTGCTCCCTGCCAAGGCAATATGCCAAAAGGTCGGCAGCAAGCTTGGCGTCATCCAACACGACTGGATCACACGCAAAAGCATGGTTCAATGGATAGACCTTCTTCACGATTCTGGGTTTGTCCTCGACCTTCCATGCTTCACCTAACAGTGGTATCGTCCTGGCTTGTGCTCTCTGGTCGACCCTAACACAGGGGACCGCGAAACGGTTGGCGAGATCCGGCATGAGGTTCCCCTCAGCAATGGGGGCATTCATCATGGAGGATAGCACGCAACCCAACAGACACACAGCAGCCGGAGAAGGCTTGCCCCTCAGACTCTTCCTTTTATACGGGAGTTGGATTCGCGGGAAGTGGAACGAGACGATGAAGATCCCGAGCGACTCCCACGGCTTTCTTCTCCTTCTTGCGCTTCTTCTCCTTTTTGCGCTTCTCCGCGGACGGCTCCCTCGAGCCGGGGGTTGCCGGTTTGGGATCATTGTGAGCGAAAGTTCAAGCATCCCCCCGGTCACACTTCCCCTTTTTGTAGAAACGGCATTCCATTCCTTCTTTCCGCGCGGACTGTTGGTTTGGCCTTTCCCGCCTCCCTTCTTTGGCTTATTGTCACGCGACGGCGTTCTTCCCCTGTTGCTTGATGAAGGTTGTTCATGTTTGTGCGTGCACCTTGCTTGACAAAAGCGATGCAGAAACACTTAGGCACGCTGGTTCTCAACGGCTGGTGCGGTTGGTTTACCAGCATGTTCTCGGTTGCGCTCGAGCCTGGCCCGAGATACGTACTGCCTCACCGACTCAATCAAGTAAGAGTGTGATCAGGGGATCCTTCAGAGGCACTCAAATAAACGTTCAGGCGGTGCTGCATCTGCTTACTCTTCTTCAGCTGGTTGCATCGAATCATCAGGTGTCTTGGAAGTCATGCCTGAAGGAACCCCCTCCCAACTTCTCATGAACGAAGTAAGGTTGTCATTTACAAGCCTCACGTTGAGAAGGTCTTCCATGGCAGAAGTGGCTCCATGTTTGAAGTTGGGACTCAGATGTTCATGCACCATGAGAAGCGCCTGCCTACCCCAAACCAGGTTCCTCTTCTGAGCCTCGATCTCCTTCAAAGTGCTGCCAAGTCCCCTGAAATAATACTTGTCAATGCTGACAACAGCTTGGCATCGAGCGTGAGGAACGCGCCGGGGTCCTGAAGATCGGAGATCGCGATTGAAGCCTCCCACGTCTCGCTAACCCATTTGAAAGCCTCATCTGGCCGGTCGGAGGCAGCGCAAACAGCCTCGCGAACCTTGATCCGCCAGTTCCGGTAATTTTCGGGCCGTGGGAAAGCAGGAATAATCATCCTCTCAGCCTCCTTAACTTTGGGCTTGTCATCATCTTGAAGGGGTAAGGCTTGTTGAGCTTCTTACGGATCATCCTGCGGCTCTCACTGGATGATCGATGTGGCTGATGATGAAGAAGAGCTAGAGGATGAAGAGACTGATGAAGCAGGAGGAGAACCACCCGTTCTCTTCTTGTGGCTCTTCTTCTTCTTGTCTTTCTTTTTCTTGCCCTTCTTCTGCTTTTTACTCTTCTCGTCATCGTCATCACCATCGTCTCCGTCATCATCGTCACCAGGATCACCGGCAGGCGGTTCTGGCGACGTGGGTTCATACAGATCACCTCCCTCATCATCGTCATCAGCAACACCAGACGCATCACGGCGCAATTCAGTGGAACAAGACCTGACACGTGTCTTCGAACAAAGGCCGAGACCAGGGGGCGGAGCTGGATTAGTGGGGGCCTTTGGCCTCACCCCGGGAATGGGATCATTTCACTGTACAGAGTACACTTCGAATTTTCAAATCATTT